CCAACAGGCTGAAGGAGGAGGGCGGGGTGAGTGCTGCCTGCCCCCAGGGCCTGGAATCCTAATTCAGCTGAGCCTGTGGAGTTGGGGCTTGTTTATTCTCAGCAGGAAGACTGGGGGTAGGGTAGAAGGGGGAGTGAGGCCTTTCAAAAAATAATAATAATAAAAACGTTCATTTAGAAGGCTCCCAAGGCGTGCTGAACTCCAAAAGGGTCCTGGAAAAAATGCTGAGAGAGTTTAAGTGTAAATGGACCCAAAACCCCATAATTAAATTTCCCTTAAATTCACCAGAGTTTGGGGTCAAAGAAAAAATAAAACTTAGGGAAAATACACTTGAGGTTTAGGCAAATGCCAAGAGCTTAGGAAAATAGATTTCTGAGCTGCTCAGTGGCTACTGGCCTGGCCCTGCCAGCCCTGAGCTGTGGAGGCCTTAACCGCTCCCTGCTCAGTTCTGTGGCCTAACCCCCACCCCAGGCCTCCCCTACCCTGTCTGTCCTCCTGTCTGCCCTCCTGTCTGTCCTCCTGCCTCTAGGCCTTAGCTGAGCAGCTCTTCGGTGCCCCCAACCCAGACCAGTGGAGCCCAACAGGTTGTCTGAGCATCACCCCTCATTCTGCACCTTCCTCCTGTGTCTGCTGACAGCCCTGGTCTCCATTCTTTGTTCATTTGGGAGCAGCCACATTTTCCAAAGTGAAAGTCAGGACCCGAAGTAGTAGTCTGAGTGAACCAAGGGACAAAAAGTTCAGAAAGTTTGAACTAGGACTGTCACAGCTTACCCGGGCTCTCAATACTGCATGATTCATGGTGTTGCCCTTTTTACTCAGCCTGCCAGGAAGCTCAGAGCTAAAATTAAGGATCTTGCATAGTACCTAGTGTTGGCTGAGGGATTTTGGAATATTTTCTCTTCCTCTCCATGTTCTTTAAAATTCCATTTCTGTTATAATGAGCAAATCCAATGTGCTTTTTATTTTAATCTTCCTCAGATTTTTTGAGAATAAATTTAAAAGACAGAATGTATCTCTCTCAGCCACAGCCCTACTCAAATCTGCTCTGTCCTCTCTGAAGAAAGGGGGTCAGCCCAGCTAGAAGGGGCTACTGAGGGGCCCTCGTCTTCCCCCCATGGTGCTGCCTGACCCCTGGGCCCCTGTCAGTTCCAAGGGATCTGGGGTTCCCAGAGAAAGTGGAGGATGGGAACAGTCCCTCCAGGACTTCAGAGGAGGTGGGCCAGGCCTCAGTTATTCCTCCACTCAGCCACATGGCAGGCCCAAGAGAACTCCCTCCAGCAGCCCCATCCCTGGGCCAGGCACACTCCTGAAATACAAGCCAGATGGGACTCCCTGGCTGACTTCCAGGCCAACTGCAGCCTGCAGTAGCTATGGCCTGCCAGGAGTCCTGTGGGTAGGAGGCAGGTTGAGGATTCAGGTCCCGCGCAGGGCGCATCGCCTCTGCAGACACAGCACCTGTGTTTCCCCAGCTTCAGAGAGGCTTTGGTGGGGAGGCCCAGAGGTAAAGCTGGCCATTGTGAGCCTATGGGGTGTGTGTGGGGGGGTGTCCCATAGTCAGAATATATGCAGCTGATGCTCCTCCACAGTACCTATGCTTGTCACTCATCAACACAGGCCCCAGTAAGCCAGAGACACCCAGCTCTGAGTCACAGAGCTGGGTTGGGCTGGGCAGGCCCACGATCCCTGTCATGCTTGCCTCAGCCTCTGCTCCCCCATTTGCTTCACTGGGGACCCTGTGGTGTGGGCCTGGGAGTTGCATAGGGCTCAGAGAGGTGGGCGGGGAGGTATCTACGTGAAAGGGGACTCTGGCATTTGGAGGCCCCCCTCACCATCAGGGCTGGCTGCCTGGGGGGGACTCCTATATCACTGCCTGTACTCTCGCAGGTTCTCCACCCTCCTTACCTGCTCGCCTGCCCTGGGCCCCTGTGGGGGGTAATTTGGTACCATCAGTGGAGCCAGGAGAAGGCTGCTGCCCTTTGACCTAACCAGTGCTTGGATTGTCCATAATGAAGGGGCCACTTCAGGACATGGATGATGCCAAAGAAACCAGCCACCACCGGGTTGTGTCTCGTGGACAGAAGGGTGGCCTCCAAAAGGTGCATCTATATCCTGGCCCCTGGGACCTGTGAATGTGAGCTTATTTGGAAACAGGGTCCTTTGCAAGTGTAATTAAGATAAGGAGCTTGGGATGAGAACATTCTGCATTATCTGAGTGGCCCGAAATCCAACCACCCAGGTCCTTATCAGAGACAGCAGTGCAGCTAGAGAAGAAGAAGGCCGCGTGAAATGAGGCACACTGCAGTGATGTATGTAGTCACTGGCCGAGGATGCCCGGAGGCCCCAGGAGCTGGGAGAGGCAGGAAGGAGCCTCCCCTCCGGCCTCTGCAGAGACACATCCTGCCCACGCTTTGAATCGCAGACGACTTCTGTTGTCTCGAACTGGGAGCAAATTTAAGCCCACCAGGTTGTGGATATCTGTGTCAGCAGCAGAGCCAGGAAAGGAATATAGGGTACAAAGCACCCAGGTGTCGGCCCAACCTGCTACTGAGGAAAGGGGGCTGGCTTCCCACGCTGCTGGCTGCTGGAGCTGTCTAGGAAGTCTGGCCACCGCCTGGCTACAGGGCCGGTGGGAGGGAGCAGAGAGGTACAGCACCCTCTTGCCTTCTCTTTGTGCTGCCCATAGTCCAGAAGCTGGGAGATGTGAATGGCGCCAGGCTTGTGGGGATGGATGGTGGAGTAGGGGGTACATAGAGATAGTGAGCACTGGCCCAAGACCCCCTGCTGGGCATTTCTGCTGGGCAGAAACTTCTGGTTGACTAACTGGATGCTCAACCTCCAGTAGGTGCAGGGTGCAGAGGAGGCTGCCCTTCCTGGAGATCTGGAAAGGGTTGTGGGTGCCATCTTGCTCACAGGGGCCTCGGGAGCATCCCATGGGAGGCAAGTCCCCAGATGTGCCTTGCAGTTCCTGCCAGATCTTTTCCATAGGAATCAGGGCAGCAAACCCAATCCTGAAGCCCCAGAGGAAGAGGGCCAGGAGGGTCAGGACCCACACACATTCTGACTCATTAATTGATAGTTAATTAGTTAGTAGGTTAGGGCAGAATGGGCTGCTACGGCTCCCGGGGTGGTATCCTGGGTGGGACCTGAGTGGTATCTGACTAGACCTGTGCGTGGAGGCAGGGAGTGCTAATGGATATCCAGACTTGGCCAGAGCAGGAAAGGTGGCCTAGGGCAGAGATGCTGAGCTGTGTCAGATGGACACGGGGGTGGCCTGAGGGATCTCTAGGGGCAAGGCCCTTCTGGGACCCTGAGTCAGCATACACACACTTAGCCCCTGGCAGCACAGGCTGTGCCTAGAGCTGCAGCTGGGCAATGTACAGTGGACTGAGAAAGGTGGAGTGAGCAACTGGTTACCGAGAAGCTTCCACAGCTTGTTTTCTTTATTACCAAATCCAGTCCCCAAAGCCAGAAGCTGGGTTACACAGAAGTATTAGGCCAGGACCTCAACTTCTCCCCTCTCTGGTTCCACCAGGTCCCTGGCCTCCCTGGGCTTGCCTGAAGGTGGGACACAATGCCCCAGCTTTGAGGTGTAGACACAGAAGCCACTAGTTACCAGGCTACTGTCCCAGAGTGTGATCAGGAAAGAACCTACCACTTACAGGCTTGATGAAGAAGCCAGCTGGGTCCTTCTGGGAACTGAGCTGCCAGCCTGACCCTCCCCAGCTGGAATCTGTCCCCAACCTGCTATGTCCCAGAACCTCAGAACCAGCTCAGGCTCTGCCACCAGCTTGCCACACCGTCGTTGCTCAGAGCAGTGGTCCCCAAATCCTGATCTCCATTCTGAGGCTGGGCAAGGAGCCTACCTCTAAACCTGTTTCCTCCCGGAGAAGCCAAGAAAGGGGGTCGGAAACGTGTGTTGTGGGTGCCTGCTTGGTGAATGCAGCACAGCTTCAGGGCTGTTGTCCCCCACGGCTGATGGGTCAGGTCAACAGGCCCTCAGCACCGGGACTTTGCACACACATTTGTCTCCGCCTGGAATGCAGTCAGGCTCTCCACGTGAGTTCCCACTCACACTGCACACACTCCTCAGTGACACCGCCTGGACATCCCGCCCCCTGCCGAGACCTCCTCTTCCCCCTCCCTCCACAACCCCCAGCACGGGGAACTGAGCGTTGTACGGATAGGGGCCGGAGATCAGCCTTGCTTCGTCGCGCCGGGTGCGCCACCGGGGCCTCTCCCACCCTGCCGCAGCTCCCACGCCCTTCTGGACCGCGGGGCGCCCCCACCCGGCCACGCCCCCTCTAATCCCCAGCCCTAGACCGCCCCGAGGAGGGGCGTGCCATCGAGCCCCAGCGCGGGCGTGTCTGGGGGGCGTGTCTGGGGGCGTGGCGGGCGCGGGCCGTCCCCCACTGGCTGCCGCGCGCCGGGCAGCCCCAGCTCAGTGCGCGGTGGCGGCGGCGGCGGCGGTGGCGCGGGCAGTTGGCGCCGCGCGGTCCCGCTCGGACACACAGACTCACGGACGTGTCGGCTGGCCGACGGCCGCAGGGACAGAGCCGGCACCGAGCGGCTGGGCTGCTCTCAAAGCGGGAGCCGCGCGTAGTGAGCCAAGGGGCTCCAGCTGCCGCCAGGTTGGTGCGGGGGACCCGGCAGAGGCTTGGAGGGGCCGAGCGGGCGCTTGGAGGGGCCAGGGCGCGCGGCGGGCTTGAATCGGAGCGGTCCCTGAGGCGGAGAACCGGGCGAGGGCTTCCCCCTCTGGAAAGTTTGCCGCCGCCGCCGCCGCCGCCCTGGGAGGGCTCTGCAGCAGCCAGGGAGGGAAGGAGGAGGAGGGAGGGACCGCGGCGGGGAGGAGGCGGCCGGCGCCAGGCGGCCCGGGAGCCCAGGGCGGCGGCGGCGGCGGCGGGCGGGGCGGCTGGGGGTCTGAGGGGTCGGGCGCAGGAGCGGGGCCACGCGCTCCATCTCTGCGGCGCTGGTAACGAGCTGCCCTCCTCCTCCTCCCGTAGTCTCCGGAGCGGCGCCCTCCCGCCGGCGCCTGAGCCGGGCCGTGGGGGGCAGCATGCCCGCGCGCGCCGCCTGAGGACGCCGCGGCCCCCGCCCCAGCCATGGGCGCCCCGGCCTGCGCCCTCGCGCTCTGCGTGGCTGTGGCCGTGGCCGTGGCCGTCGTGGCTGGCGCCGCCTCCGAGCCCCCAGGCACAGAGCAGCGAGTCGTGCGGAGAGCGGCAGGTAAGGAAGGACCCAGCGCGCACTGGGAGGGGCCCCGATCCTGGCAGGTAGAGGTGTCGGGGACAGGGACCCGCACCTGGCTTGGGAGGGGGCGGCCGGTCGAGTGGCACCGCGGGGCCAGTGCCCGGGTTGTGCTGCACCCTTCGCCGAGATCGCGGCCAGAGCTGTCGCGGCGGTTTATGGGGTGTCTGTAGCCTCGGGGTCACCACTCAAGTGTGATGCGCCGCGGCCCCACGGAGGCGGTGTCTGGAGACCCTGGCCTCCGCGGCTCCCCGAGCGGTCGAGAGGGCTCTGGAAGCCGTTTCCACGATTTCCATTGTTGTTCCTCGGGATCTGTGCCGACGGAAAGTTCCTATTGTTGGTGCCCCCCGCCCCCAGGGCCCCTCAGTTCATGGCCAACTTCGGCCAAAGCCAAAGTCTGGCTGGTCTTTGAAGGGCGGATAGAAGTGCGTCAGACCTGTTCCCCAGTGGTCTGCGTGACAAGGTGACAGCCTTCAGCATTACCACTCCCCCAACCCTGCTCTCATGCCAAGTGTGCTCAGAGGTTCTGCAACTAGGGGTGCGCACCGAACACCAGGCAGGGGTCCGGAAGGTGAGCGGGGCGGATGTCCGAGGGTTGTGGAGCCCTAGATGCAGATTGGCGGTCGAGGGATGGTGGGACGTCGAGGGTCAGCGAAAGGGCCTTCGGGGCGAGGGGAGCGCAGGGTGAGCGAGGCCGGCTCTGAACACATGCTGTCGCGCCGAGATGTGGCGTGCGCGGCCCCCGTGAGCCGGCAAAACGTTCCAGTGCCTTCCCGAGGCCAAGGCAGAAGGGTGACCTGGCGGGCGGCCGCTGGAGCTCGTCCTAGGGACAGCCAGGGCCCCGGAGTGGGCGGAGGTCGCGCACCCTAGCCCCGGCCGGCGGCCGCGCGGAAGGAGGCCTTCTCCCGGTGAGTTGTTGCCCCACCCGGGCCGAGGCCCGAACAGCCGCTTCTTTGTACCCCAGCGGCCACAGACCGCGCATTGATGGCGGTGCGGCCTCGCGGGGAGGTGCGAGCTGCGCGGCGGGCGCGGCGGGACGAGGCAGATGGCGGCGCGCCCCTCCCCGCGCCCCTTTCTCCGGCGGCGGCTGCAGCCTCCCGGAACAATGTCATTTTTTTTTTTTTTTTTTTATGAATGAAAGTGGGCCCGGCGCTTGAATGTGCGTGTCATTCAGCGGCGTGACAGAGGCCGTCGGGAGGTCAGCGCGCGCTTTTAGCGCCTGCTCCGACGGCCCCGCTTCCAGGGCGCCGAATTGGCGGCGGCGGGGGGGCCGTATTAACATGCGCATCCAGATATTACTCCCTACGCCGGGAATGTCGGCGAGCCCGGGGAGGGACTGCGGGCGGGGCGCCAGACCCTCTCTTGGACCTGTGGCCCGGGACAGTGGTCTCCCTGCACACCCCTGCTGCGGGAACTGGAAGCCCAGCAAGGCGGGCCTGGCGCGGCATGGTGCGCGCCTGCACTGGGCGCAGGCGTCGGTGCCACCCACCCCCCACCCCGCCTCCGCACTGGAGCTGGTGAAACAGGTAGGGAGTTGATAGGTCAATAAACTTAATCCGGTTCCTTAACGAGATGGGCTGGGCAGTAAAAATACAAAGACCTCGTGAAATTTACTACAGAAGTCCCGGCTGGCACTTTCCCCGAGAACATAAATTACGGAACATAAATTATGGACCGGGAGCTGGTTGGGGTCAAAAGGCGGTGGGGAACGACTTGGCCCTGGGTCTGCTCTGGCCTCCCCAGGCCCGCTGGGGGCAGCTTCTGTCCTCCCCTCCACTTGGAGCCATGTTCTCATAGTGCAAGGGGGTACGTTTCTGGAAGCGGGAGGTTGGCCCCACCCCAGCCAGGAGGGGTCTGGGGGGGAGCAGAGCCTTTCCCCTCCCAGGGCCATGGCTGCAGCCTCCCCCCACCCACTCCGCGGCTGGGCTGGACTTTGAGCCCAGCAGGCCTCTGGGTGGTTCATTAACCTGGGCTCATCCTGGGCCTCTGGGCCCTGTACTGAGCCTAGGAGCCCCTCCCCACTCCCCCTTCCCCCAGGCCTCAGTCTCATTGGGGCTGCAACTGGGACCCTGTCACCCCCTAGTTGTCCTTGAGCCTAGAGGGGAAGAAGGGCTTGAGGTCCCTTCAGAGAGGTAGTCCCATGTCTTCCCCTGGGAGGGCTGGGGATCTTGGGGGGAAAGCCACTAGTGTTCAGAAGTGGCCTAGTGGGGTTGGGGATTTAACTCAGTGGAAGAATGCTTGCCTGAGTTCGGTCCCCAGCACCGGAAAAAAAAAAAAAAAAAAAGCAGTAGTGGCCTAGTAATTTACAAGTGAAATTTACAAGTGGCCTAGTAATTTACCAAGTGCTTTTGGTTAGGGGACTGTCTGCCTGGACCTCTGGGGCTCCAAGCTGCTAGCTGCCAGCCCAGGCTCAGGGTGCCCTCCTGGAACCTCAGTTTTCTCACCTGTCCAGTCAGAGAAGACTGATAATGGCAGGGTTGTTTCAGGGATTAGTCCGGATAATCCCTCAGTAAACCCTCATTAGCCTGCCTGGCCTCTGGATCCTTTTTTTTTTTTTTTTTTCCCTCTGACTTTGTTACGAAACTTTTCGGAATGTCTCCGGGTGGGATGGGAGGTGGAGAAGCAGGAAGGCTAGACCCTACCCCTTGGCTTCAGAGTTACTTGGGTGCCCCTTTTTCTTAGGTTATTATAACCACACACCTGGCAACACCTCCCATACACAGCCTGCAGAAAGCTTCATGTACAAAACCAGACTGCTTTGTTCCTCGACCCCAGGCCCTCATCCTGCTCCAAAACCCAAATCCCTTGGGGTGGCCAGCTTCAGAAATAAGTCTGAGTTTGATCCTTGTTCTGTGGGCAGCACAAAACTGGGAGCAAAGTCCCCCAGACTTGGGACACAGCCCTTCCCAGTAGGCTAGACTGCCACGGCCTGATGGACATCAGTTCAGGGCAAGAGATCCAGGGCAGAAGGTATCCTTTACCTCCTACTTCCACAGGCTCCAGCCACTTTACCAGGTGAAGTGACCTTTCTGGGCCCCAGGCCTGCAAGGTAGAATTTGTACTTTGTACCATAGTGGGGGAAACTGAGGCACAGTCAGGGAGACCCCAGGCCCAGTGCAATTCCCCCAAGACACAGCAACCCTTGGCATGCTCCAGTGAGCTGTTCTTGGCATTTGACTCCCTGGTCCATGTCAGCACGATGTAGGAATGGGGACATTAGTGGGGATGAGTATTATGGGACCTTTGTGGGAGGAACACTGTCCCCCATGGGCACAGTAGGAGCACCAGTATCTGTAAAAAGAGGGGGGTGTAAGTACCCCCTCTTCTGTTGATGAAGAAGGAGGGCTTCCTGGTGCCTAGGAGGGCAGTGAGTCTGTATTCCTGGCAGCTGGGTGGGGTGACGGGAGTCTGCTGGCCTGAGCTTGTGTCACCTCCCTAAAGTGAGCCAGACCCTCTTAGTGCAGTCCCACACTGTCCTTTCCTCCTTGTCCCCCTGCCTGACTCTACCCAGCTCCCCTAAGGCTCCCTGGCCTTGGGATGGGATCATAGGAGGTGGAGTCTCTGCTGCCTGAGGCTATACAAAGTCCAAGCATCTCTGGCCTCTGCTGACACCTAGCAGGCAGGGTGGGTGGACAGGTCAAGGGTCAGCCCTCAGCCACTTCCTCTCTCTGCCCATACCACAGATGGCTGCTGGCCATGGCTGGCCAGGGGGCTCCTGTGTGTCTCCTCCCCCACCCCCCACCCCAGGCCCTCGCTGGACTTGGTTGAAGCAAATTCTTGTGTGAATGGCTTGACCTGTTGTCCTCGCCCAGACCAAACCGGAACCAACTGGCTGTTTCCCTTGGGCTGGGGCCTGGAGCTGAGGCTACCAAGACCAGCCTGTTCATGGCCTTCTGGGGGGCCTCAGGTAGCTCCCAGCACTGGGTGGTCCCCACAGGACATGGAGGCCAGGATTGGAAAGCTGGAGGTCAGGAGAGGAGCCCCTCTGACTGAGGCCCACCCACAGGTGGGCTCTGAGCTGTGGGTCCCTAGGGGACACAAGCTCCCGTGGATACTCTGGGGATAAGTGTGGGTCCTTCTGTCTGGCAAGATCCTGGTGAGCACTGGGCACGCAGAGCTGGGTTATTTGGGACAGGCAGAATTGGACTTGGCTGGCAAGTCAGGGACTGGTGCGGCCAGAGTGGGCAGCTGGGCCTCGAATCTAGGCCATGCATCGGCAGAATGACAAGTAATGGTGCAGCCTGTCCAGCTGGGTGTGGGGAAAGAGGTCGGCCCAGCAGGACCACCCACCCCCCGGGCCTCAAGCCCAGCTGCCCCCCACACCCATGCCCAGCATTGTCTGACCCTGGCAGAAGGGCCTGGGGCAATGGCCAGTCCTGTGGGTGGTGTGTCCCTCAGGCCTTTGGGCCCCTCAGGCTGAGCAGCATCTGGACAGAGGAATGGCCAAGGACCACCTGGGTCTGTCCGCCTGAGGGAATGTCCTCCTGCCCTAGTTTCTCAGCCCTCAGGGTGAGGCTCTGCTGCTCCAGCTCTGACCAGCTCATCTGGTGATTGGTTCCTAAGACTGGACCCTGTGAAATGGGGTTTCAGATCCCCAGCCACCTTGGGAACCCACTTGGGTCTCTCACCCTATTATCCAGACCTGGGATCCTTTCTCTATTTTGGCCCTGTTTCTCTAAGCCACTGCTGTGTGGAGCAGTCACAGACTGTTTGTACCCCAGAGTTTCCCACCTTGTCTTGCGGTGCTCAGCTCCTGTAAACATCCTGGGGTGTGTGCACTCGAGTGTGATCCATTCACATTGTTGCCTGACCCTGTTGTCTCCTTCCTTCATGTTGCTGGGGTGCCTCTGTTCCCTGGCTGTCTACCTGAACTGCTTGTGAAGCTAAGATGAGGAGGGTTTGTTGCTGAGTAACACCCTTTCCAGGTGCTCTCCCCTCATCCATTCCCTCCTCTGGACTTTATTTAGCCAGAGGTCAGCAAAGTGCAGCTTGTCCCTGCCTGCTTTTATGTGACCCTCCTGTAAGCTAAGAACAAATTTTACATTTCCAAATGGAAAATTCAGAAGAGTAATACTTTGACATTTTTGGGGGATGGTGTTAGGGATGTATTCAGCCTCTCAAATGCCAGCCCAAGCTCCCTACTACGTCTAACCCCCTTCATAGCACTTTGAAATTAGAGCTTTCGGGTATCCATAGCTGTTTTGTTGGAGAACAGCTATGCCCTTGTGGGTGTCTTTGAAAGGTGGCTTTCACACTATAGGGCAGAGACTGAAAATGTCAATGACCTGGGGCCTTTACAGGAACAGCTTGCCTGCCCATCCCCTGTTTGAGTGATGTCTGGCAGGACCCAGACCCTGGGAGCAGATCCTTTCTCACTTGGCTTGCAGTAGTCTCCGCTGGTGTGTTTGCACCAGTGACTGGGGCAGCTGACTCAGGGTGTCTGTCTTACAGCTGCCCATTTCACTTGCAGAGGTCCCAGGGCCTGAGCCTGGCCAGCAGGAGCAGGTGGTATTTGGCAGTGGGGACACCGTGGAGCTGAGCTGCCACCCGCCTGGCGGTGACCCGATGGGCCCCACTGTCTGGGTCAAGGATGGCACAGGGCTGGTGTCTTCCCACCGTATCCTGGTGGGGCCCCAGAGGCTGCAGGTGTTGAATGCCTCCCAGGAGGACGCTGGGGCCTACAGCTGTCGGCAGCGGCTCACTCAGCGTGTGCTCTGCCGCTTCAGTGTACGTGTAACAGGTGAGCACCTGCCGGGTCAGACCACCAAGTCCCTGAGCAACCACATGACCCAGCAGAGGCCAGGGTGGCCTGGGCAGTGTGGCTGCAGCAGTCCCTTCCTGAGGGTCTCACTGGTCACTGGTAGAGAGGAAGTCACCATGAAGAGGTGCTGTCTGTCTGGGCACCGGTGGCTCACTCCTGTAATCCTAGCTACACAGGAGGCAGAGATCAGGAGGATTGTGGTTTATAGCCAGCCTGGGCAAATAGTTTGAGAGACCCTGTCTTGAAAAAACCCTTCAAAAAAAAAAGGCTGGTGGAGTGGCTTGAGGTGTAGGCTCTGAGTTCAAACCCCAGTATTGCAAAAAAAATAAAAAAGGGGTGCTGTCTGAATGAGTGGCCTATGAGGGACACTGCAGTCCTCCTGTTGAGAACAGAGCTCCAAGGCTGGGGTGCAGCAGGCCCTGGATGAGGGTCTGTCACAGGGCCTTTACCCACTCATACCTGCATTGCAGATGCTCCGTCCTCAGGAGATGATGAAGATGGGGAGGACATGGCTGAAGACAGCGGTAAGAGCAAGATCTCAGGCACAGAGCTGGTGGCGGTGGGGTGGGGGAGCTGAGAGGGCAGCAGGATGGAGCTGAGAGGGCAGCACAAGTGTTTAGTAAAGCAGGGGCTGGGGTGGACTTCAGGTGTGCAGGAGCAGTCCAAGACGATGCCCAGGTGCTGTGGCCTGGAGCAGGGGCAAGATAGGCTTTGCCTGGCCTGGAGGGGCCAGCTGGGGGAAATGGGGTTCTGGCTTTGGAGCAGTCAAATTTGACATGCAGAGAGGTGTGCATGTACAGGTGAAGGTCATCATGGGACAGATGTGGGGAGGTGGTTATGACGGGGACCTGTGGTGTGTGGACTCAGCCCTGGGGCCTCTGGGTGAAGCTAGCAAGGAGTTGAGGAGGAACAAGCCAGAGAGGAAAGCTGGGGAAAATCGGGGTAGCAGAGCCTAGGACAGGACTGGTGAAGGAATGGTGGGCGCCAGGGGCTTGTGTGAGCTCTGAGGGTGGGAAGGGCCTCTTTAGGAATGAGCTCCTGCCTTGAGGAGATGCTGGGTTTCTCATTTCCCTTTTTCCTGTTGGCTCCATGTTCAGAGCAAAATTTCCTTCTCAGTTGCTCTACAGCCCCTGTCCCCAACCACACATACAGTGTCCTGGCCCTGGGTCCTGCCTGTCTGCCTTCTTTCTTCTGGCCTTCCTAGTCAGTGCTTGGTGTTTGTGCCCCACTGGTTTAGGCTGTGAGGTCACTGAAGGGCCACCTTTCAGGCCCTGTCCAGCAGGGGTAGACAACACCGAGGCACACAGCATTGGGAGGGGCAGTTTCCTCCAAAGTGTGCTGGGCGCTGTCACTCCAGGGGGTCTCTGCACCCTATTCCAGGAAACCTGGGGGTGCATCTCAGGGCTATAGGAGGTGCTTTTGGTCAGCATCTGTGCATGCTGACCCCAACCTGTGCCTCCATGTCCTCCTCCAAGAGATGGCTGTACCCCTGGGTGGATGGAAGCAGCGAGGTCACTGTTGGGGGTGGAGGGGAATGTCACTGCCCAGCCTCCCCTTGACTGTACAGAAAGGCCAGCACAGAGGAAGGAGGAAACTCAGGTAGGGGGTATGGGTGTGGGTGGCAGCAGCCAGAGAAACCTGTGGCTCAGAGCCCGGGTGAGAAGTACTGGGACTCAGCTCCCCTAGAACTAGAGCCTCCACCAGGGTGCCTGCCAGGCCCCTGGGCACTGCACAGGGTGGCTTAGGGTCTCATAACTGGCTGTTCCACTTCTTGGGAATTGTGCCTAAGGCCTGTCCTGGCTGGTCCCCCAGCTGGGCTGCTCGCTGCGTCCTGGGCCTGTCCCACAGTGCCACCCTGGGAGATGACCCCAGGCCAGGGCGCAGCACCCTAAACCTTCTAGCTGGAGCAGCCTCTTGGGGGAGGGACCGCGGCCTAGCCTTGACGGGGGTGGGCATGGGGGAGTGGCCAGGCAAGGCAGGGGGACCCGGAAAAGCCACTTTGCACTCAAGAGATGAAAGAGCTGGAAGGTGGTCGGAATCAGGTCGGCCTCTGCTCCCCTCCGGGGTTATGGTCTTTACCGTGCACTTCTGCCGCTGGCAGGGGCCCCTTACTGGACTCGGCCGGAGCGGATGGATAAGAAGCTGCTGGCCGTGCCGGCCGCCAACACCGTTCGCTTCCGCTGCCCGGCTGCCGGCAACCCCACTCCTTCCATCTCCTGGCTGAAAAACGGCAAGGAATTCCGCGGGGAGCATCGCATAGGGGGCATCAAGGTGGGCCTGGTGGGGGCGTGGCCTCGAGCGGGGAGGGGCGTGGCCTCGAGCGGGGAGGGGAGGGGCCTGCGGCCGCTCATCCACCCACCCCCCGCGGTCACCTGCAGCTGCGGCACCAGCAGTGGAGCCTGGTCATGGAGAGCGTGGTGCCCTCCGACCGCGGCAACTACACCTGCGTGGTAGAGAACAAGTTCGGCAGCATCCGACAGACATACACGCTGGACGTGCTAGGTGAGGGCCGGGCCGGCTGGGCGGGCGCGAAGCGGGCAGCCGGGGTCCCCCCACCCCCCAACCTGCCTGCCGCTGACCCGGCTGCCTCCGCAGAGCGCTCCCCGCACCGGCCCATCCTGCAGGCGGGGCTGCCCGCCAACCAGACCGCGGTGCTGGGCAGCGACGTGGAGTTCCACTGCAAGGTGTACAGTGACGCGCAGCCGCACATCCAGTGGCTAAAGCACGTGGAAGTGAACGGCAGCAAGGTGGGCCCAGATGGCACACCCTACGTCACCGTCCTCAAGGTGGGCGCCACCGCTGGCCAGTGCTGCAGGTGGGAGGGTCCTTCTTGGCTGAAGGATGCGTCAGGATGGTCGGGCCTAGGTGTTGGAGGTTCTGGGGAGATTGGGGGGCGTGTGTGCGGGGCGGGGGGGGGGAACGGACGTTCAGTCCCAGCACTTCTTGTCCCTGCTCTGGGCTCCAGACAGCGCTCTGTGGCTGTGCTGCGCCTCTCTGCAGTGGGACCGGTTGCCCTGTCTGCTCCGAGGGGCGACCTCAACTCGCCGAGGCCCCACAGCTTGGAGCTGGCTCTGCAGAAGGTCTCCCTGGGCTGGGCTGCAGCTCAGGTGACCGCAGTAGTCACAGGAGGGTGACTGCTGAGCCTGCAGCACTCTCTGGAACCCAGAGGGCCGGGTAGCCGCTTCCAGGGCTCTATGCCCCTCTCCTTGTCCGTAGCGTTGTCCCATGGCCGCAGGGAGGTCACCTGAGTTGGGACGGTTGGGACACTGGCGGTCCAAAGAAACATCTGTTCAGAAACAAGGCGGTCTGGTGGGCTCGGGAACGGGCACAGGAGTCCCGACCGCGGCCTGGCAGGCTCTATCCATTGGTGCCTCCCTCGCTCCTTCCGCCCCTTCGCCGTCGCGGGGTTCACCGCTGGAGCCCCCAGCAGTGGGCTGGCGGGGCGGGGCGGGACGGGAGGAGGGAGGGCATCCTCTGGAGCCACGCCTGCCGCCGCCATGCCGTGCCTCTGCGCCTCCTCCAGGCAGCCTTCTGGCGGCTGCCCAGTTCCTGATCCTTTCTTTGGGAGTCTCCCCAACCCTGCCTCCTTCTGCCTTAAGCCCAGCGGGGGCTGGCTTGGGGGCGTGCCTGAGCCGGGTCTCTTGTCCCCGCAGTCCTGGATCAGTGAGAATGTGGAGGCGGACGCGCGCCTCCGCCTGGCCAATGTGTCGGAGCGGGACGGGGGCGAGTACCTCTGTCGGGCCACCAATTTCATAGGCGTGGCTGAGAAGGCCTTTTGGCTGCGTGTTCACGGGCCCCAAGCAGGTAACGACTCTGTCCCATGCCTGCCTGGCACGCTGAGCTCCAGCTCCAACGCCCTGGCCATGTGCCTGCCTGCACGCCCTGCACACCCGGTCCTGCTCGCTCCTGCGGCTGGCGCTCTGCTTGTGGCCGCCTCTGCAACACTGATAGCCCTGGCCACCACTGTGACTGCCTGCTTGAGCCCCCTAGGCCTGTGCCGGCCCCTCCCACACCCCCTATGTGCATACCCAGAAGGTCCCTAGAGCCTGCCAGGGGCTGAGCCTCACACTCTCTGAGCATCCATCTTCCACCCCTTTCCGGAAACTGATTCTGCTGCCTGCTCGTTTCCCAACCGTTCATCTGTCCCTCTGTCCTTCTGTGTTCCACCTGTACCCTCCTTGCTCTAATCCTGCATGCTGCCTCCATGTGGCACCATGCTACCCGCTGGCCTGACGCTCACCTGGGACAGAGGACTCGCCGGTGGAGGGACTGGCTTTGGGCTCCGTGCCCACGCACGAGGCAAAGAGCCATGGTCTGCCATGGCAGTGGCAGGGCCATGGTGGTGGCCGAGGTGGTGGTGGCGGCGGCGTTTTCTTTGCAGCCTGGCTGGATGGTCACCGTGTGGACTCTGCCGCAGTGCCCGTGGGGAGGTGATGGTGTTCGCCTATCGCGCTCTGTTCTCTCTTTGTAGACGGCGGGCGCTAACACCACTGACAAGGAGCTAGAGGTTCTGTCCTTGCACAATGTCACCTTTGAGGACGCGGGGGAGTACACCTGCCTGGCGGGCAATTCTATCGGGTTTTCTCACCACTCTGCGTGGCTAGTGGTGCTGCCAGGTACTGGCTCCTGCTGCTGCTTGCTCTGCACCTGTCCTCTTGGGGCGCTGGCCCAGGACATGCCAGAGTTGCCAGGAACGGGCCCAGGAGCCCTGTGGCTAATGCTGCTCTGCTACACAGATCCCTCACCCTGGCCTTCTGCCTGGTGTGGGAACATCGACCTGGCCTCAGCTTGGTGCTGGTGGGGGTCTCCCCTCCACCCTCCAGTTGGCCCCATAGCCCTGTGCCGCAGCTCTGGCATCTCCTGGGCGCCTGGGTGGCGGTGTGGGTGCTGCTGGCTCTGCTGGCTCCTTCTCTCCTGGGTCTGGTCCTTCCTGACTCACAGGTGTTTGACTGCAGCGCCAAGGCGAGCGGGGGCACTGAGGTTGCGGGCCCCTCTCCTCTCCCACTGGTGCCTGTGGCAATGGCCCGTGGGAACTCCCAAGAGGCTGGGCCAGGTCCCAATGCCCGTGTCTTTGCAGCAGAGGAGGAGCTGGTGGAGGCTGACGAGGCTGGCAGCGTGTACGCAGGCATCCTCAGCTACGGGGTGGGCTTCTTCCTCTTCATCCTGGTGGTGGCAGCCGTGACACTCTGCCGCCTGCGTAGTCCCCCCAAGAAGGGCCTGGGCTCCCCAACGGTGCACAAGGTCTCTCGCTTCCCACTCAAGAGACAGGTAACAGAAAGTAGATACCAGGTTTCGAGCAGCCTGTCTGCCTCCCCGGGCCTCCCAGAGACCCCACAGCCCATGCTCATCTTGGGCCCTCTGAGCTCGGGGAGGGCCTGTGGTATCGAGGATGCAGTTCTCTGTGGTCTGGTGGCCTTACTCCTCCCCGGGTCTGTTCTCCACATGGAGCCCAAGTTACTTTGGGCGTGAAATCGTTCATAAAGTCTCCATTCTCCAGATGTTAAAATCAGAACAGCCTCCTTCCCTGCCCAGCCAGCTGCACTACCCCATCCCGTCCCTAGCTCAGCCCCCGTCGTGCAGCACCAACCTGCCCCTGCCGACCCAAGCAGGTGTCCTTGGAGTCCAACTCGTCCATGAACTCCAACACGCCGCTGGTCCGCATCGCCCGGCTGTCCTCGGGAGAGGGTCCCATGCTGGCTAACGTCTCTGAGCTTGAACTGCCTGCTGACCCCAAGTGGGAGCTGTCTCGGGCCCTGTAAGTAGCGGCAAGGGGTCTGGCGGGGGCAGAGGGTGTCTGTGGTTAGGGACTGGAAGGCCACTTGATGGGATTTGGACTGGAACTGTGTGTGATGGAGACCCATTGTTGAATATGGTGTGAGGTGGGTTACCCCGTCCTGAAGGCGTGGCACAGGATGAGAGGACTGAGGGAGGTCACCCCACATTCTTGTCAATAAGGGTACAGCGCGGCTCTGGAGTCTGGAGAGCTTCCTGGGCCTCACCCTCACTGCCTTTGCTTCTGCTGCCAGGCTGACTCTGGGCAAGCCCCTTGGGGAGGGCTGCTTCGGTCAGGTGGTCATGGCGGAGGCCATCGGCATCGACAAGGACCGTGCCGCCAAGCCTGTCACAGTGGCCGTGAAGATGCTGAAAGGTAAGGAGGGGAACAGCGAGGGGCAGTGGGGTGGGGGCCACCACGTGACACACCCCCTCCTGGTTTAGATGACGCCACCGACAAGGACCTGTCCGACCTGGTGTCTGAGATGGAGATGATGAAGATGATCGGCAAACACAAGAACATAATCAACCTCCTGGGGGCCTGCACACAGGGCGGTAGGCGCTGGGCTGGACGGGCCAGGGTGGGCGGCCCCCTCTGGGCCTGGCATCCCCTCTGAAGCGCCTGTGTTCCCAGGGCCGCTCTATGTGCTGGTGGAATATGCGGCCAAGGGCAACCTGAGGGAGTACCTGCGGGCACGGCGGCCTCCCGGCATGGATTACTCCTTCGATGCCTGCAGGCTGCCCGAGGAACAGCTCACCTTCAAGGACCTGGTGTCCTGTGCCTACCAGGTGGCCCGGGGTATGGAGTACCTGGCCTCTCAGAAGGTGAGCAAGGGCAGGTGGCAGAGGCCAGGGGGAGTCTCTGGGTGGAGGTGTGGGTGACAAGCCTGCTGGAGTCGGGGGGCCCGGGGAAAGGTCACCTCAGTCCGGCTTTCCCCCAGTGTATCCACAGGGACCTCGCCGCCCGCAACGTGTTGGTGACTGAGGACAATGTGATGAAAATTGCAGACTTTGGCCTGGCCCGAGATGTGCACAACCTGGACTACTACAAGAAGACCACCAATGTGAGCCTGGCCCCAGGGCGGGTGGGCCTGAGCCACGGGGCACCTGGCAGCCAACCCCGCCTCCTCCCCCTCGTTTGCTCAGGGCCGGCTACCTGTGAAGTGGATGGCGCCCGAAGCCCTGTTTGACAGAGTCTACACGCATCAGAGTGACGTGTATGAGTCCCCACATGGGGTGACAGGCTCTGGGGACAGCCAGGACCCCAGCTGTCCTCTTGGGCAGCAGTTCCCATGTCCCCTCATCCTGGGCCCGCACCACAGCCCCGGTCTTCCCTTGGTGCCCCGTTGGCATGTTCTGGGGTGGGGGGGGCTGCTTGGGGACTGAGCCCTAGGGGTTATGGGGGCCACCTGACTTTGCCTGTGCCCTGCAGCTGGTCCTTCGGGGTGCTTCTCTGGGAGATCTTCACACTGGGAGGCTCACCATATCCTGGTATCCCCGTGGAAGAGCTGTTCAAGCTGCTGAAGGAGGGTCACCGTATGGACAAGCCGGCCAACTGCACCCATGACCTGTGAGCATCGTGTCCCTGTCTGCCCTTGGCTGAGTCCACGTGACTCAGGGCCCCAAAGAAGAGCTTGCTGCTCCCACTGTGGCCTCAGCTCCCGGCATGTGGCAGGGTGGTGGGGGCGCTGGCAGCCTGGGTCTCTTCTTTGGTGAGGTCCACGGGGAACAACGAGCCAGCCGGGCACCCATACCGGAGTCCTCTGCCCCCAGGTACATGATCATGAGGGAGTGCTGGCATGCAGTGCCTTCACAGAGGCCCACCTTCAAGCAGTTGGTGGAGGACCTGGACCGCATCCTCACTGTGACATCCACCGACGTGAGTGCCAGCCTAATCCTGTCCCCGACGTGACCACTGTGCCTCCTGTATGAGGCAGTCCTTGGAGCCCCAAGGGGTGGCACGGGCCCTCGGGCACGGGCACAGCCTGAGCACAGTTGTGGAGGTGGGAAAGGGGGTGCAGTGGAGGACATTGTCTTGACCAGCCCCCACCTGCCAGCAGGAGTACCTGGACTTGTCTGTGCCCTTTGAGCAGTACTCACCCGGTGGCCAGGACACCCCCAGCTCCAGCTCCTCAGGGGACGACTCTGTGTTCACCCATGACCTGCTGCCCCCGGCCCCACCCAGCAGTGGGGGCCCTCGGACGTGAAGGGCTGCCAGTTCCGCAGGCCAAGCCCCCATCAATGTGAGAGTAGACCCCAGCCCACCCTGCTGCTGCTGGTGTGCAGCGGGCCCTGGCCCAAGCCTGGTATGGATGGGCAGATGGACAGATAGGACTTTGTATCTGTGTGTGCATGTGTGTCGTAATGGCCCCTGGGTGCACAGGTTCCCAGAGCCTCTGCTGCTGTACAGTGGCCTCCTGACTGACCAGTGCCAGGAGCACCAGGGGCCCTTGTTCTGGGGGCTCCAGTTGTAGAATGTAAGGGGCCTGCTCTGTGCAACCCCTTGGGACCCTTGCTCCCATGTCTCTCAGTGCTACCCCATGGTCCACCCCAGGGAGGGCCATGCTTCCTTGCCTGCCAGTGCCCAAAGCTGAGCCTGCAGGGAAGCCCCACATGGTGAGCCTCCCACCTAAGTGGTACCTTGTGCTGGGAGGTGCGTCACAGCGCCCCACTCCAGGCCTCCCCACTTCCCACCCTGCCCCTTAGAGACTGAAATTACGGGTACCTGAAGGTGGGAGCCTTTACCTTCTGTCTGAAAGGTTTATTCCAGAAGCAAGTGTACATTTATATAAATAGATGCTGTGTATATGATATATATACATACATATATATAAGAATATGTGGATGAAAAGGCTGAGACCCAGGGGAACAGGAGGCCCTCTTGGGGGACTCGCTGCTGAGACACAAACGGAGGGGCACGGGGCATCTCTGGTGCCACAGTTTTGTTTTAAAAATTGTACCTGGACCTGTATATTTGTAAAGCTATTTATCTACCCCCAGAGCCTCCATTCCTCCCACCCCACGTTCATAGCATTTAGCCAGCTACCTGGCAGAGAGTCTTAACTTATTAACACCTGAGAAGGTTTATGCTGCGTTTAGAGGGATCACCAAGAATGTATGTCCAGCCCAGCCCTAGGGCCGAGTCGGCCCTCTGGAACCTAAAATGACCCTCAGAATTAGAAGTGGGTCCAGTGGGCCTTGTTTTTTTTTTTTTTTGATTTCCTTTGGCCCTCTTTCGCAGGGGAATTAGATTTCTATAGGATCTTTCTTTAGAAGATTTATTTTTTTGGACTTCAAAGTGAGCTGGTATTTTCATACAGATTCTTCTAATTATTGCGTATCCTAGGCAGGAGTCAGTGTCCAGGGAGGACCGTCCTGCACGCAGGTTCAGATGTTATTAGATGTTACAAGTTTATATATATCTATATATATCTATAATTTATTGAGTTTTTAAATATATTTTGCTTCTTAAACATTCTGACGATGCTTCTAGACTTTTATAGCCTGGACTGCTACTTTTCAAAGCTTGGGAGAGAAAGCCGTGAATTGAGTTTTGTACCTTTTTGTACTGTTAACAGGCCCGAGTTTGGGTGGCTGTCCCTTGCTGGTCAGCCAGGGCGGGGGCTCAGGGGGGGTCTTTTCTCAGGCCCAGCAGCATGGTCTGTTCCACCCACACCGGCAGACTTGATTTTGTTAACCCAGCCAGTGTACTACCCAAAAATAAAGAGACGATGGGTCCAACCCCTGCCTGTGCCTCTTGCCTTCTGTTCTGGGACCCTGGCAGCTCTGTGTAGTGCTCACTCCTTGTGGGGATGGGTTCTGGTGTATGTCCCCAGGAAGGGAGGGTTCCTGCAGCATCTGGATGGCCCTGGTGGGTGTGCTAGCGTCCTCAGGCTCCAAGGAGCCTAGCTGCCCTGGGCGTGCCCTCCCCGTGGCTCCCACACCTGGATAAAAGTCCAGTGATAGCAATGGTGCTGCAGGGGCCTGCCTGCCTGGGGCCCAATGATGGCAGGCAGAACCTCAAGGTCACTGGGACTCTGAGGACAGGAGGGGATGCAAGTGAGTTGGTGTCCAGAGAGGGGGTCATGGTGGTTGTGTGGAGGAAGTGCTCTAGGTCTTCCCCGCTTCCGCTGTTGCTACCTCATGGGGGTCCTGTGGGGCACACAGTGGTGTCCAGGCCTCTCTCATCACCCCACCCCTAGGGAGAGAGATGCTCTAGGTGGGTCTCCCGAAGGAGCAGAGGCAGGCAGGTCAAGTTCTTAGCTCACACCGTCCACGCTGGCAACCACAGCCCTGCTCCTGGCCAGCTCCCCTCCTCCACCAAAGCCTGGCTTCACCTGTGTCCCCTGCTCCATGCTCCACAGAAGACGCCTATGTCTGGGCAGGTGCTGTTGTGCTGGGCTTGGCTAGCTGGGCACAGAGACAGGAGGATGACAGCAGGGCGGGAGGACAGCGGGACATGGCAGTTACCCACGGGGTGGGGGGTAAGTCTGCGAAGCCTTTCTGAAGGAGAGGGCCAAATGGTACCCTCTGAGCTTGGAACTAGGCCAGTTGGGTCCCTGGAGCCAGTCAGCTCAGGGCTCTGTCTCCTGTTGGATTCAAAGCTACCTTGCAGGTGAGGGAACTTTTTTGGATGGGTGAAGCCGCTAGGGTCTTGGTTCTGGGTGTCTGACACTCCAACCTGCCCTTCAGGGAAGCGTGTGGTTTGAGGGCAGCATCAACCCTCCAGCCCTACCCAAACTCCATCCAGGCTGACCTTGCTGTGCGGACACCTAGAGACAGTGACCAGGTTGGGAGGGGGCCCTCAGGGGGCATGCGCAGCAGAGACTGAGGCTTGGAGGGTAGTGAGGGGCCTCATAGTGGTGGCAAGCAGCGCTCTTTTCCCTCCAAACAGGCATGGACGCTGCCTGGGCAGAGTGTGGGCTGGTGGCGCCCCCTAGTGCCATGCTGGGCCAAGCTGCATCCTGATGCAACAGGAGGTCCCTCTCAAGCCTGGACCCTGGTGGACCCCAAGTAGGCACTGTCCCAGAGGTTGGACCACTGTGCAAAGGTGGGGTGGAGGGGTAGCACACCCTCTTCCCATTGCCACCATCGGAGAGAGAGGGGCCTGAAGCCTTGGAGCTGCTGCCCTGCCTGCTGACCACAGGAGTGGCCTATGGCCATCCAGCAGTCTACAGTTGACCCTCCTGATGCCCTATGGAAGTCAGGACCCTCTGGTTGTCACATCACTTGTCTTCTCTGGTTCACAATGGTCCTCTGCCCTCTGCTGAGGAAGGCCCTGCCTTCTTGATACGGGTGGTGGTGCCTGTGGCCCTATTTGCTCCAGGCGGCCAGCACTGGAGAGGGGAAGGCTCCCAGCTTGACACCCCAGCTCACTGCTGGTGGCTGTGGCCAGCTGTCTCCCAGGGCTGAAGTACATCCTACTATTTCTGGTACCATCAACTGGAATTCTCCCTGAGGCCTCCAGAAGGCAGGAAAAACAACCTGTCCTCTGTGTCAACTATCTACTTTCACAGTGAGACAGGCAGATGCCTGCCTGTCAATCACCATCCTGGCCAGCACACAGGGTTTCTTTCCTCAAGAACCACCATGGAGTCTATGCATCCTGCAATCCCAGCACTCAGGAGGCTGAGGCAGGAGGATGGGTTATTTAGTGAGACCCTGCCTCAAAACATCAGAAAGAAAATCACCAGACATTAGGCTTCCACTTCTGTCCAAATTGGGTCAGTGGGGACCCTTTATACTGGCTGTGTCCTTTGCGTGGTTGTCCCAGACGGCCAGTACTTTCTGCCCTGCCCTGGGATTGGCACTTTGTGAGCCTGACTCCCAGAAGTGGTTCTGGGACTTTGGAAGATGCAAATAAAGAACAGAAACAGGAACAGGCTCCAGCTCAGGCCCTCATGTGGCCCAGGCCACATACCTGGGCTGGAGAGGCTTGGTCTGGCCCCGAGGAAGGACGCTGGCATGAACGCATCAGCAGAGGTGAGGCCACCAGAGACAGGATGGTGTCCAGGGCTCAGAGCAGCGCACTCTGTCCACTGAGGTGGCTGGGAGGAACAGGAAATGGACACCATGCCTATCCTCCTGCCACCCCAGGGTGGGCACCCGGAGACGATATCTGGAGGCCCTCCACATATCCCTTGGGCTGTCTGGGCCCTGCCCATGGATCCAGCTGTGATGTGGTGGACCTCTTGCCTCCCCATGACCCTCTTGGGCAGGGCATTCCCTAGGGACCAAGGCATCTTTCAGAAGCTCTGTCCTTCCCTGAGGGACTCTCAGCCAGGCTCCCAGCTCATGACCATGACGATGAAGCAGGCACAATCTGGGTATGAGGTAGCTTGGTACCAGGGCTCCTAGAGGCCCTGAAGTGCCCATGGAGGGTCCTCAGGCAGAGAGAGCCTGATAGTCGTCAGGGACACCGACAGGGACGAACCATCACTTGGCAGACAACTCATCAAGTGGAAGTTTATTAAATAATCTCACATCAAGTTGTCTAGAAAACCCATCAGCACACAACCCGTCGCCATCAGAGGGTCCCGGGTCAGCCTGGCACGGTACAGCGTCTAACGTGGCGAGGGTCTCCAAGAGCAGGGCTGGTGTCACAGGACAAGGGACACAGGTCTCCTAAGACAGTCCCTGCAAGGCAGGAGTCTCCGAGAAAGGCGAGGCTCCTGTGGAATCTGAGCATCGGCCCAGTGGCCCACAGCGCGTCTTGGAAGCAGACGCTTGGACTCCTGAGTTTCCATTTGACTTCTGCTGTCAAATGGCTCAGAAGTATTAATTCGCATTGGCACAGGAACATGGACTGAAAACTGTCTCTAAGGAGATGTCGACACACGGGATAAGGAATGAGGAATCAGAGGACTTGCTCTCCTGCCATATCCCTGGCAGCTCTGCCCAAAAGCTTGGTAAGGACCACTAGCAGGAGTTTCTTCTCACAACTACTCAGCTCCCTTCACGATTAAGAAGTCCAGACACCACATACCAACTTCCTGAATCCCTGCGTGAGAAGCTGGTATTAGGAGGGAACTCAGGAACCCCGGCTTCATCTTCAACAGCCTGGACACCCCAGCTCCTGAAAGTAACTGCCTTACTAAACACAGACAGCTCAAACAGCCACCTTCCAAATCTCACCACGGAGCCCTCCTTTCTGGATCCATGTCTCACACCTGCACCCAGCCACAGATGCAGCTGTGAGAAGGTTGAGTGCAGTAAAGCAAACACAGGATGAGGGGAAAAAGCCCCTAATCCCAAAAGGTGCCCACTGGTCCAGTCACACCTAAAGGGTGGGCCCGCTCTCTGTGGTGATGACACAGTGGCCTGATAGGGCCAAGTCTGGATCAGAAGGGACAGTGAGGAAAGGACACCTACAGCGCTGGCAAAGCCATCCAGGATGAGGACAACAGTCAACATGGCTGAAGGCCCCAGATGCTGCTCTCAGGAAGCCATCTCGCCTCCATGGGGACACTTTGGCAACCTCAAAGCTGGTGTTTGAAAGGAAGTGGCCTGGGCAGCTGGAAGCAGGCTGTGGGAAGGGCTGGGGTCTGGAACGTCACCAGCATCTGACACCCCCCCTACTGCACATTGACATGGACACCCTCAGGCCCAGCTGCCATTTTACAAGGGTTTCCAGGTAAGGGAATCTTATTCTAGCTCATCAAGAAAAAGTTTCAACTGAGAAGGAATCATTTCTGAGCACTGCTTCTCTGCTTCCTGGCTACTTGTAACTCATTCCTGTCTTCCAAATTCCTGGCTAGAATTCCTGAAAGGACACTTTTTTTTTTTTTTAAGACGGGGCCTGACTACTTAGCCCAGGTTGGCCTGGAACCTGTGGTTCTCCTGCCTCAGCATGGTGTGCCCCACCATGAGCAGTCTCTCCAAAAGACATTCTTGCTGGTAACTGATCCAGCTTTAAGGGCAGTGTGGTAAAGAGCCAAGTGGTAAGGTGGTGACCAGCTCACCCACCACCAAGTGTACCACTAAGTGAGAAAGGCCACTGGGTGCTCAGTAACAAGCCCTGGACACTGAGCCAGTGGAGGCTCCATCCAGGAGGCCGCCAGCTAAGAGCCCCTGGGACACCACTGTCCAAGTGACCAATTCCTCACTCCATGGAGGACAGCATAGCCGCCAGTGTTTATTGTGAAGGAATCCTGCAACACACTAAGGGAATCCCTTGGTATCAGAGGTGAGGCTGAGTGGGCAAGGCCCCATCCCAGCCACTGTACTCCACAGTGTGCTGCTTTAAACTTTATATGGAAAGTCACAAGGATCCCCAAGTGTGCTTCAGGCTGGGTTCCTGCTGTGCTGGAAGGTGGCAGGGCACTACCAGACCCGAGAACCTGCTCCAGCCCCCAGCTTAGTGAAGTCCTAGCACACAAACTACAGCATCGTGAATTACCCAACATGAAACACCGCATTCCCAAGGGGTTCACTAGCGTGGTTCACCTGCTACATTAGCTATCACTCAGGAGCTAGGGAGACTATCATATGTGAAAACTTGTACCAGTCAGTTAGTTGAAGAATGAGGTGAAGACTGATGGTAAATCAAGGAAGCTCCAGTGAGCAGACCTTGGGATCCACCAAAGACACCAAAAAGGGCTGTGAGGGAGGCCACGGAGAGGTCACACCGATCAGACTTCGAACACCTGTAAAGAGATGTATCTGCACCAAAGTCCATGGACTAAGAGAAGTTATCTTCTTTGGAGCTGGGGCTGTTTGTGTTTGTCTAGTCACTATCCAAACCCTCTTAGGACAAGCAGGCACGCTGCTTGGCTCCACCAGTGCTAGAAGTCCACACGGTCCTCTCTCCTCCCAGGGCACAGAGGGCTCACTCAGATGAGAGAGCGAGGGCACACGCAGGGAGGGTGCCTTTCTGCCCCACCTGGCCAAGCCTTGCTGAGCCACTCAGCACCACACAACAGGGACTATCCAGACATGGTTCCCTGGAGGCTTCCAGAGTCTCAGACTGAATGAATGTTCATGGAATGATGAAAATTAAAAATTACTTGATTATGGAAGTTTCTGATTTATTCCAAACAAAATATTAGATTTGCCACTAAGGATTGCCTCAAAGCAATCAGTCTTACGTCATTCCCACCGTGGCCGTCACAGCGGGTGGAGATAAATATTCGCAGGCCCTGGGTGCCAAGAGGCAGGCAGTCCTAGTTCTTCACCTCTGCAGCTGCTTTCTCTGCCTTCTCCTTGGCCTTCTCCTTCTCTCCAACCTTCTCCTCTTTTTCCAGCGTTGCCACAATCTCAGCCACTTGGCTGGTGGAGATTTGAACGTCTTCTTTGTCCACCAGGTCCGATTACCTGCGCATACAGGAGGGGGACTTCTGAGGGGCTCCGCCCATAGCACTCACCGGCACCAGGGGTAGGAATATGACCTCCTCTGAGCCGTCTTCTTGGCTTAGCACTTCTTTGTTGCAGTTCCTGCCAGGGGTGCCAGGGGTCCTCCAGCTGCTCTGGTCCTCAGAGTACCAGACTCCCAGGGGACCATGAACAGCACGGCAAGGCTGCCAGATTCCAACGCCTACTCCGGCCAGTCTGGCCCTGCTACCCTGCTGGGGGCCTATGGCCTGCCTTGGACACAGCTTCCCCAGGGGAGAGAGTGGGGCATGGCATGGGGCACATGTCCCCTCTGTGATGCAGACTAAGCATGGGTGTCTGACAGTGCCTTGCTTCTAAACAAAATGAAGGAAGTTAGCTGATATTTGTGGCAGTGTCTCACCATCTGACTATGTAGCCCAGACTGGCCGTTAAGCTCTCAATGTTCCTGCCTCAGCCTCCCTAGCACAGGGATTACAGGCATGTACCACCATCCCCAGCTAACTGTAATAACTTCTTATTTCAGGTGTGATTTCCAGTGAGAGTAAGGCTGGAGGCTTGGCTCCAGTGGTAGAGCATTTGCCCACAAGCTCAAAGCCCTAAGTTTAAACCTCAGTACTGCCAAAAAAAAGTTTCAGTCAAATGACAGCAAGGCCTGAGAGACAGCTGCAGCTATGGACTCAACCTCCCAATCTCCCAAGCGGGTCGAATGGCTCTGCATGAGCAGCCCCTCCCAGATCCCATGGGCCCCAGAGCAGGAGGCAGCGGGGCCAGCCTGCAGCTCAGTCCCCACTGGCCTACCTTGACGAGGTCGTCAATGTTGACCTTGCCGTCCTTGTTTTCATCCAGTGCTGAGACTAAGCTCATCAGCTTGTTCTCCGGAATGTGCTTGATCTGCTTCATGGCACTGACGAGCTCTGTGACGCTGACCACGTTCTCCCTGTGGAGCACAGGTGCACGGGGCTGCAGCTAGGCTCCTGCCCTCAGGCCTCACTGCAGCTCCTTCCACAGGCCCTGACCCTTGGGGCCATGTGAGAACTGGGGACATCACATGGATACTGATATGGAGCACGGCTGGACACAGGGGTCCCATGCAGGGCAAATCCAATGGCCAGGATTGCCAGGGGTGCTGTGCAGTGGTCCTCAGCCCTGAGTCTACTCAAGAGGGGACACTGCTCTCATCTAAGGGTGCCAAGGACCCCAGGAGCAGGGTCTGGAGCAGGGGCCCAGCTGCCAGTCACCTGCCCACATCATGGGGTCTGTGGTTTGGATTTGTGGGAACCCCACACACAAGCCAGTCCTAGGAGCACGAGGTATAGCTACTGCTGTCCCATGGTGCCAACTCCTGCTGCAGAAATCTGGTACATGCCAGATCCCAGAGAAGGCTGACTGGCCCTGTGTGTGTGAGTGCGGGGTCAGGACAGAGCAGGACAGTATGACGGAACAGAAGCCAAATGGGGCTGAGACTAGAAGGGCAGGTAGAGACATGGGCAGGAAGGCGATGGGTCTGATCTAGCAAGGTGAAATCAGTATCAAGAGGTGAAGGAAGGAAAAACATAAGCAAAGATGCCTTTTGGCCTCCGACTGGACCTGGGCCTGGGTAGGGCAATGAGCCTCAGAGGCTAAGACATGTACCTTGGAGTAAGACCCCTCCAAAGCACCTGACAGTTGCAGGATTGACCTCCCTGGCTGCTTGTTGCCCACTCACCCTTCGGGAGAGCCCTCAACAGGGCCCAGCTTGCTGGCCTGCTGGTTGGTCTCCAGCTGTGCAATCAGACCATCGATCTGCCCGATCATCTGCTGGACTCGCCTTGTCAGCCTCTTGCTGGCTGTAGACTCTTCTACGTATTTTTCATCGCCAGTCTTTGAAAGCTCCTTCTTGATCTCTTGCAAGTCCTGATGTTATTTGTAGGTGTAAAAAAAGTTTTTCTTTAAAAAAAGGGTGCATGTGGACCCTACATTAAATTTAACTTGGAAAAGTATTTAAACCATTAATTTGGGCTGGGGCTGTAGCTCAGTGGTAGAACACTCCTCTAGCACACACGAGGTCCTGGGTTCAACCCCCACAGCCCCGCAATACAAAAAAACCAAATTAAACAAAACACTAATTTCAGCCACCGAAAGGCAAAATCTTATGTCTATCATACAAATTTGGTCTTGTTGTTGTAAACTCAAACACTTTTTATAGTAGAAGAGACAGAAATCGCTCTAAGTCTCAACCTTCTTTGCATTTGCTAGAGAATAAACAATGAAAGCAGCACGATGAACTGAGGGTCACCCTTCCCTCCTTTGTTTCTTTGGCAGTGCTGGGGTTTGAATTCAGGGCCTCCCATTTGAGCAAGGCAGGTCTCTACCACTTGAGCCACTCCGCCGTGCTTTTGCTTTAGTTTTCAGGTAGTGTCTTGCTTTTTTTAAATTTTATTTACCAGCACTGGAATTTGAACTCAGGGCCTCATTCTTGCAAGACAGGTGCTCTCTTACTGCTTAAGCCACTCCACGAGTCCTTTTTTGTGATGGGTTTTCTTGCGATAGGGTATTGCAAACTATTTCCCCAGGACTGGTTTTGAACCAAGATCCTCCTGATCTTTGCCTCCTGAGTAGCTGGGATTATAGGCGTGAGCTACTGGCTCCTGGCTAGTCTCTCAATTTTTGTTCAAGGCTGGCCTTGGACTGTGATCCTACCTATGACTTCTGAATAGCTGGGATCACAGACATGTACCACTATGCCCACTTACTGGTTAAAATGGGGCTTGCTAGCTTTTTGCCCAGGCTGGCCTCGAATTGCAATCCTCTAATCTCCACTTCCCCAGTAGCTGAGATTACAGGCATAAGCCACCTTGCCCGTCCTTTCCTTCTTACATTCCCAGTTGGTTTCCCCCTCTAGGAAACTTCACAGGGAAGGACACAATGGGCAGCAGGGGTGAGGCGTCTCACCAGATGACAGACACAGCTTCGTGAGGAAGAAACCACAAGGCCAGAGGGGGCTGCCCTAAGGAAGCTCAGAAATGGCAAGCTGTTTTACCAATTTCAAAGCCTGTCACTTTCCCAGCAGAGCTGTGAAGACAGTTCTTTTATCAGATTATTACTATTGTTTTTTGGGGGGACTGGGCCTTGAACTCTGGGCTTCTCACTTGCAAAGCGGGTGCTCTACGGCTTGAGCCATGCCTCCAGGTCATCTTTTACATCGGATTAGAAGTATACAGGGGCTGGGGTACGGCTCAGCGGCAGAGCACGTGAGGCAGGAGGGCAGGAAGCAGGGAGGGAGGGAGGGAAGGAACAGAGGAAGGGAGGGAGGGAGAGGGAACTACCAGGTAAGAAAAGAGAGAAGGGAATCTCTCCGGGGGGCGTCATGAATGAGAGAGTAAGGGTTCACTCATTGATGATCTCATGTTCAGTGACACCTCCGGGTGTTCAGACTCCCACTGCTGTCTGCTTGGCACCCACATGGGTGCCATTTACCAAGAAAGAGGCCAGCCACAAGTGCTGTGGAAATTTTAGAATAAAATTCATTTTCTCCCCTCCCTTTTCTCTTCCCTCCCCCTTTCCTTCCCATGTTGCAGATCTAACCAGGGCCTCACAGGCTAGGCAAGTGCTCTACCACTGAGCTATATCCTGGTCAAAGTTCATCCCCTGCTGGATGATGTGCAACTCAGCACTGTGCCTGACAGCTGTTTTCCACTCTCCATGGTCCGTCTCCCCAGCAGTCCCCACCGGGCCACCCATGCCAGAGATGTGCCCCGCACATGCGCACACTCCCACCTGGCTATAGTCCTGGACGTCCTCCTTCAGCAGCTCCAGCTCTTCCTTCTCCTTGGTCAGGGACTTCTTCTGCTCCTGCAGCTTGGAGCAGGCATCACTGAGAATGTCAATTTCCTCCTTGGTTATCTCCGCTTCCTGGACAGAAAGGAACAAGCAGACAAGCCTAATAAGCAGTCAGCTTCTTCCCCTTAGAGCTGACAGCTTAGCTTACCCCACATGGGCCAGCACATGGGGTCAACCTCAACTGAGATGGAGCTCAAGTCTGGGCTGCACTAGCCATGGGTGTCACTGTCTGTGCTGTTCCCAATGCCCCCACACAGAGCTGTAATCTGATGAGCTGTGACCTATGTGTGCATCCCAGCTACCCCAAGCACCGCCTCATTGGTCTGACTTCTCGCTTGCTCAGAGGTTCTGAGCTGCATCCATATGGTGGTGGGTTGCAATTGCCAGTCAGCTAGACTCAAACTTGCTTATCCACTTACCCATTAATGGACATTTGCTCATTTCCTATTTCAGCAATTCCACAAAAAGCTGCTGTGAACTTCTGTGTGCAGGTCTTGGGTGGGGAAATGCCTGGGAGTGGAATAGCTGGTCACAGAGACAGTGTAGGTGTGACTTTGTAGAAGACTTATTAAGATGGGCTCCAAAGTGGCCCAGTTCCTTCACACCCTCACCAACGCTGGGCTAGGATGGTCCTACTTTTTTCTGTTGTTTTGCAGTGCTGGAGATGGAACCCATGACTTCGAACTTGACAAGTGCTCCTCCATTGAGTCACACCTCTGGCCCAGTCTGACTCTTTTTTGGCCTACCGGGGTCTGAACTCAGGGCCTCATAGTTGCTAGGCAGGTGCTTTACCACGTAAGCCACTCCGCCAGCCCCCCAGTCTCACTGTAAGTTAAATTTTCATTTCTCTGGTAACTGAGGGTAAGGAGCACTTCAGGCCCTTCCTTGGTATCTGCCTGACTTCTCTGCTCAAGTATCTGCAATGTTTTGGTCATTTCCAAAATCAAATTATTTGTCTTGTTATTAAGTTGAAGTATATTTTGTAAACATTTTCTTCCTGCTTGTGACTTACCTTTTCAGTTTTGATAAAGACCAATGTATCGATTTTTTTATGGATCATGTTTTTGTTGTGTTAAAAAATTCATGATGAACCCCAAGGTTTTCCTTCTTTCTTTCTTTCTTTTTTTTTTTTTTTTTGTGGCACTGGGTTTGGACTCAGGGCCTCCTACTTGCTAGCCACTCTTATAGTTTGAAAAACTCCACCAGTCCTGTTTTGGGTTGGATTTTTTGAGATAGGGTCTTGTGAACTATTTCAAACTGTGATTCTCCTAATCTCTGCTTTCTGGGCAGCTTGGCTTACAGGCACGTGGCTCAAAATTCTTAACAAACTAAATTAGTGAACTAAATGCTGTTAAAAATCACTTTCACACTGTGTTCCTTCCTGAGACATTCGAAGTGACCCACAGACTCCTCCAGACCATCAAAACCCACCACTGTAGCTCAAGTGTACAGAGCCTGCCTGGCAAGCATGAGACCCTGAGTTCAAACCCCAGTATTGCCATAAATAAATAAATAAATAAATAAAAGGATTCTCCCCCAGCCTTCTTGTTTTTGAGACAGAATCTTGCTATCTTTTTGTAGCTGGGATTAAAGGCATGAACCACCATACCTGGCTACCCGCCCAATTCTAAGACTGTCAAACTATAGTTATCAGACAGGCGATAAGAGCCAGGGATGAAGCTTAGTAGGACAGCTCATGCTTCATATGGCTGAAGCACTGGGTTCTATCCCAGCACTGCAAAGAAAAATAAAAAAGGAAAGGCTGTGACACTGCCAGTGAGAAGGGGAGCAGATCAGCCAAGTAGAAAAGAGGGTTTAGAAACAAGCAAGTGGCCGGTGGACTTTCTACAAAGGTGTCCAGATGGTTTAACTGGAAACAAGCAAGTGGCCGGTGGACTTTCTACAAAGGTGTCCAGATGGTTTAACTGGGGAAAGACAAGCTGGAACAACTGAACTGCCACAAGCAAAGAAATAGAACCTGACTCACACAGGGTGTAAAAGTTGACCCAGAAAGTATCATAAAAACTCTTAAAGAAAACATAAAATGACTGCTGCAACCCATCTGACACGCCTCAGCCTCAGCCTCACTTCTGTAGGAAGGCCTGGGCCCCACCTTCCCTACAGCTAAAGTTCCCAGCCTTGACCATGCCCCATGTCTCCCGCGGGGCTGCCTGGGCAGCAGCAGCCCATTTTCCTAATGCTTTCGGCCCTCAGGTTCCATCGACTGCTGAGTTTATCCCATGCCTGACCAGTCTCTAAAAGGAGCCACAAGGACCCCCACCCTTCTCAAAAAAACTGTGAAAGACCCAGCAGCCAGGTCAGTTTCAGACACCTTCTCCACACCTTTCCAGAACGCCAACCTGGACCTGCCCTTCCCCCACTGGCCTTAGGGGGCTGCCCTCCTGGTCCTCCAAGGCCCATGAGGTTGGGCTTTTCCTTTTGTCTCTTTGTCACTGCCCACCAGAGGAAACTCAGGCCTCACCCCTCCACACCCTCCTCTGCCTTCAAGGGGAGGCTGAGCTCCACTTCCCCAGAACTTCCTCTCTGAGCTCTGAGTCTAGACCAGGCCAGTCCGTTCTTTGTCACATACGCATGGTCTCATGCCCTCCTTTGCGGCACCCAGGCTGAGATCTCCCTGGACATACATCTCCACCCAGGTCTCTCCCTCCTCTGCTCAGTACAGCCCAAATCTGCTCCTGTGTATGGTGCAGCAGGATCTCAGGACAGAAGCATCAGAAGGAATCTCAGGATGGCAAAGCCACCTGGGCATAAGCCCTCCCCCCAACATACCCAGGATGCACTGTGTCCCCAGGATGCACTGACAGGATCACCAAAGGACTGCATCTAGGTTATCCAGCAGGTGACAACTGTGAAGGCCTCCGTGAAGGGAACTCTGCCTGACAGGCCAACCTCCATTTCCCTTCCTGCCGCTGGGCAGGGTGACAAGGACCTAGTAACCCCTCTGGAGCATGGAAGCCTTGCTCCAGCAGCTTGGGCCCAAGGAGTCTCACACCCTTAAGGTCTCAGCCTCATCCTCTCGCCACCTTCACTCAGAGGTGACTACAAGCACCCCTGGCTGGCTTGTCCCCAATCCTGACTGGCACAGCTTCCTAAGAAGCCATGTGGCCCACCGCACAGCCCCCGCTTCTGGGCCATGCACATCACTTACCTTCAAGCCTTCCAGCACAGGGGCAGTGTCCTTCAGGGCCTCTTCGGGCAGGATCACATCAGGCACCTCTGGCTTCAACTCAGCCACTGGCCTCTCAGGGGCAGCAGCACCCATTACTTCCAGCTCAACATCCTTCTAAAATGCAAGAAGTATCACACCATCACCTTGCTGCCTTGCTGTGGCTCCATACTCAGCTCCAACAGAGGCCACACTTAGACGGCAGAGCCTATAGATCATCACCCAGCAGCAGTGGTTCCCCTGCCCAGGCTGAGCAGGTCATCTGAGACCCTGGCCCACCTCTGGTGTTTCCTCATGATCCTGACACTTGCAGAGCACCTGTGGGTGGGTGAATGTCGAGTGGGTGCATGAACCATCTGGGAAGACTCAAGACCCAGTTGCAGGGCAGTGTCCTGTGGCCTGAGTCCAGGAAGTAGGCACTGTCCCCACCTGGAGAAGCCATGGCCCCTGGGAAAGGGAAAGGCCCCTGAAAAGGTGGGTCTCACAGTGACTGATCGCCTGGGTGCTGAGCTGGCCCCTTTGTGCCCACTGGTGGGAGAGACAGCCAAGTCACACCCTCTCATTCTCCCATGGGGTCCTACTAGAGCTGCAGCTCCCCAAGTCACCCTGATCACTGCAGGAAAGCCAAGCGAGGACAGACCCATGATTCAGGGACATGAGGGAGCCTTTAGGGAGGCTGCTCTGGGATGGCAGGGCTGCCTGCTTACCGCTGCCTCCACAGCCCTCTCCAGCTCCTTTTCCTGGTGCTCCTGCCGGATGGCGGCTTCCTCCTGCAGTGTGGCCTCCAGCTTCGCCTTGTTGTCCACCTGCTCGCCCTCTACCTCTGCCACTTTTACCTGGGCTTCCTTAGCCTTCAGAAAGAAGAGGGCACCTGCAGGTGAGCCTGGGACCACCAAGCCTACACTGCCCTGCCTGTGCTCTGCCCCTTATCTCTGAGCAACATCACCATCGGGGTCACACAAAGGGACAGAATGCATTGTTGGGACACTGGCCCCTAAGCCTTGGGAGATGTCTAGAGGCTCCCAAGGGCTACTGTCCCATCAGAGGACAGCATAGGCTCCACTGCAAAACTCAAATCAGCATTTCACATCTGCTGACAATACATGACAGGATCAGGCTGGCTCGGTGTGCCCCAGAGACTGTGCTGATGAGAAGGGGACGAGCCAGCTGGGAACAGTGACGGGATAAGCCAGACAAGCCAAGGTTGCTGGGAGGGCAGGCAGGCTGAGGTCTCCTGGAGGGGCTCCCAAAGGGGTCTCCCACCACACTATTTTCTCCCTTCACTTAGCTGGTGTGTCCTCAATCCTTTGTGCTATTAATTTTATTACAACAATTATTAATGACATACCACAATCTCCGGGAGGGTCTGCAAGGTGGATTTGAGCTGGTCGGCAGGTGAGAGGGTCTCTGGGAGGTACATGGCTCGGGACAATATGAGCAGTGACGTGGGGATCTCATGATGCAGGTGCAGGTCCAGCCACTGGAACCAGAATAAATTCGCTAGACACACCACTCTGGCCCCATCATATATCCTTGCCCATACTTGGAGGATGCACGAAAAGTGGCAGGTAGCTGACTGGCAAGATAGCTGTGTAGCAGGATTGGGACAGAGACCAGGCCCACAGCTGCGTGGTTCAAGCCTTCTGATGGAAAAGATGAATGGCTGTAAATGTCACCTACCCACTGTACAGTCTGCTCAACTGAAAGGCACTGGACATCACAGATCTGTCACTTTGATTCCTGCCCAAGGGCCTCAGGCTGAGGCAGGAGCCCACTATGTACCAAACAACAGATCAGATAAGCCCAGGCCAAGGTCAGCAGAGAGAGGGTAGATGCCAGAGGTCAGACTGGTCACGGTACCCAAACCTTCCCAAGCCTCAGGTAAGCGACACTGTCGAAATGTGACCAAGTTCCAGAAAGTTCTGAGGATGTCAACCCAAGTCTTGTGTGATTAAGAGAAGAGCAAGCTAGAACAATCAGAAGGGAGAAAACCCACACTGCATGTGAGTACACACTAGGGTCAGAGGTTAGGAACCAATCCCGAGGAAGAAGGAAGGGCTGTGTGTGAGAAAGGGTCTAAACAGACTGTGAGGAAAACAGACCTGCATCACATCGGTCTACAAGACACACATCTGAAACAGCAGCAGTTTGGTCCTTGAAAGATAACGAATCAGTGCAGTTACTGGGTGAGTGGATCACCACCCTTTCATGAGATAGGTGGAAGAAAAAAAAAATCCAGTTACAAGATTTTCTCCAGCGACAAATGGGTTGTGGCGAACAAGGTGAAGTATGTCAAATGGGTGATGTCAGTCAGAAGACCACAGGTACAGAGTATCAGTGTTGCAGCCACGCCTCAGAGAAGGGCCTTATCAATAAGTGAAATGGGGTCTCTAGTTTATGCAGAAGGGAGAGGAGACTGCAGGAACAGGTGGATGAGAACTGTGAGGAGACAAGTTACTAACATGGACTAGTCACTGCTGGCTGACTAGATCAAAGGAAAGTGCCAGAGGGACTGTTGTTTGCTACTGTTTGTACAGTCTCATTTCCAGGTCATTACAGTCTTTATAGTTTCTAAGGCCAAGAATGAAAATGTTCTTTTCTAGCAGAAGAAAAAGAAGGAAACAGTCCTCAAAGGTTCTTGTCATTCTGATAGGTTACCTCATTGCCTTCCCAGGCCTACTTACCTGCTTTAGCTGGCCCCTCAGCCGATCCTCCGTGACGCCGAGGGCTCGCATGCCTCGTGCTCGACATGCTGCCTGCAGTTCCTTGACGTTCAGGCTGTCCACCCCTTCCTCAGAGATCAGCTGGAAAAGAAGGCCAGTGAGTAACTGCTTTCCAAGGTCTTCAAGAGGCTCGGCATCCATGTTCACACAGCTAGGAAGTAAGAGTCAACTGAGAAGCCATGTTCCTGACAGGCTCTGCCATGCAGAAGACAAACCAGCTCAGGTCACTTGACCTCCAGGCTCAAGTGACCTGAGCCACCTGAAAGACACAGGTCAGGACTTTGGGAGGTTTTTGTTCTTTTTGGGTTTTTTTAGTTTTTTCGATGGTACTGGGATTGAACTCAGGACTTTGCACTTGTTTGGCAAGTACTCCACCTCTTGAACCATGAGCACAGTCTGAGCTCGGGATCTTGTAAGGACTGAATGGCAGGATGAAGCCCAATACACAAAGAAGCCTACCCAGACGCCTTTCAGGAGAAGGTGCTTTCTTCCAAGGGAAGAGGGACAGGCCCCTCTCACCTGCCAGTTCTCTCAATTCCCACAACCCACCATCTGCCAAATCATCCTCAGGGCTCATGGATGGAGGAGGAAAGGAGACTCCACACCCTGAAGGTATGTCCCCTCCCCCTCAGCCTGAGGCCATACAGGTCACAGTGACCCCACTCTGGAAAAGCAAAAGACCCAGAGACAGGACCTAGAGACCTGCAGGAAGCAACAGGTGAGAGAAGAAAGGAGGCAAACACTGTCTGAGCTGGGCAGCCCCCAGCCCTGCCATTCGATAAGGGGCATTAAATTTTTATTTAAATTAAACTTTCTAATTGTAGACACATGAGCATCTGTAACAAATAGTACAGGGGTCTACATGCCTTTCAGACTTTGGGCAAGACAGGACCTTCCCCTCCACAAGGATCTCTCATGTCATCTTTTGTCACCTCAAGAATGCCAGATACATGGATCATACAGTAATCATAAGGCACCTCCTTATGACTGGGGTGGGTGAACAAGCCGATTAGTGTTCTCCCAGTAAAGACTGTCTAGGGCATTTCCAGTTCACCCATTGTGACTAACACTGCTTCTGTCTTTCTTTCCCTGTCTCCATGTGGCTCCTTAACCTCCTCTGCTCTGGGGACCACAGCACACACTCACTATAAACCCCTGGTGTCACCATCCTACAGGGCACAGCAAAGAAGCCTCACCTCTTTCACACTCTCTACTCCTGCACTGGGTGTGGTGGATACTTCCTCTCCTCTCTGAGAGCTCCTGACCACACTTCGGCTTTCAGCTCACCGGAAAGAGGTAGTGCAGGCCAGTCACACTTGCCCACAGTTCTGCAGGCTGTCTTCTTCCTTCTGACCCTCAGGGCCCTTCTCATGCACTATGCTTCTGGGCAGAGAACTTCCTTTGGCTGTGGGTTGGAGAGTCTGCTGGTGACAATTCTCATATCCCTCCACCTGAGAATGCCCTTATGCTGACGTCTGGATATTGCCTGGCTTCCTCAGGGGCCCCCTGCCCTCCTTACAACTCTCAAAGTGGTTGGCCTTCAGAATCCATTTCCTGGACTCTGCTGCATCGGGGTGGGGATTTGGAATCCACTCAGCTTCTTAATTTGCAGGTTTATGTCTTCTATTGAATTCTTCAAGGATTTTCAGTGCTGTCCTCATCTTCCTGACCCTGGAATTCTTATGACACAAATGTTCACCCAGTTCTCTGAACAAGCGCCGGCTCACTGTCCACTTTCTACCACCTTCTTCTCCCTGCTGTTTGGTGGGGTGGCCCTAACATCTACTGCTCTACCCTGGTCTTTCCCTGCTCTGCAGTGCAGTCGATTTTGGTTCCTGTATTTTTACTTCTAACTTTTCACGTGGCTCCTCTTTTCTTGCTGAGCCTCTCCTGTGGTTCAACGTGTAATGACAGTGCTCTGTCCAAAGGTGCGCACGGTAGCACAAGCCTGCGCACCCAGCTACTCAGGAGTCTGAAGCAGGAGCATTGCCTGAGCCCAGGAGTCTGAGTTTAGTTGGACAGCATAGCGAGAACCCATCTCAAACAAAACAAAGCAAAGCAACTCTCCAGTTTTCCCAACATCGGCCTCCTGCCAGTTACCTTTCTCCACCCATGCTGATCCTCTCCTGGTTCTCAGCACTACAAGAAATTCTCAATTGAAATCTGAACTTTTGGGGTATCACAGCAGGAGAATCTGGAGTACATTTCTATCTTCCGACTTGGATCGCAGAAGCCAAGCAGTGAGGCTGCTATGGCATGGGGTGGGTATATGTTTTAACTTTTGTAGACTTTGCAGTTGATGACTTGTCATTTATTAATCACAAGGCTAAACTGACAGCTAGAGTTGCCCACAGCTCCCCTGCAATCCAGCATTCTCAGACCAACCACAAACTCTGACCTCTGTTTCACGTCTTGTCCAGTCATAATGATTCCGCTGGCTGCTCCCACCACACTAGGAATGAAGACACCATGCCAGTTCCTCACCCCCTCATACTTCCCATTCCCTGTGGACTTGAGGTTCCAAATGGCCCAGGGCCACAAGTCACACCCCTCTTCCACCAGAGCTGGACTCTCCACTCTGCTGCTGGATGCCACCCATAGGTTAAGGGAGTGTATTTTAGATTAGTCAGGGTCGCTGGTTCCCAGTTTGGTGCCCCCGACTCCCTAGAGGAGCCGTACCTCGTGTGTTGCTAAGAGTGGGGGTGGGGAGGCTCCTGCTCTCCACTAGGCCTCCACCCATACCCTGGCTGGGAGGGGCAGAAGTCCTTTGTCACTGCTTCCTGTCTGGCTTCCACTGACACCAGGGAAGGTGGAAACAAAAGAAAACGCAAAACCCAGAAGGGCGTACATGTGGTGAAAGAGGAGATGAAATTGTGTGCATACAGTGAGTGACATTCCCTGGGCACTGCAACCACTGGGACCAATGAACAGATGAACAGAGACAGCACACTGAGGTAGACCTTACAGCTGCGGCAAGTCAGAGAGAAAGGGAAAGACTCAGCAGCTGCCGAAGGGAAGCTATTCATCTTCAAGGGAGCAAAGAGGCCTGCAGCTGACTTGGGCAGACCCAGAAGCAGAGGCTAGGAGAAAGGCATCTGGATGGTGCAGGAGAGAGACATACAGAGCACTGCAAACAGGAGAGGGCACGGGACACACAGACAACATGGTAAAACGCACCGAAGGGAACTTGAGGGAGGAAAGCATCTGAGGAAGCAGATGTGCAGGCAGGGACAGGTAGACACAGGGTGTGAACTACCACAGGCTATAAAGCAGGCAAGGGAGGGCAGCTGGGGGTGAGTATGCCCAGGTGCTGGCACCACCTGGGAATGAAAGTGCTGGCCTGAAAACCGTGGAGAGCTCTAGGGAAACCCAGAACAAGTGACAAAGTAACAGAGGAGGCGGAGTAAATAAAAAGACTGGACTACTCCAAAAGAAGGCAAGAAGTGAGATTGAGCAGTACACAGACGAGGTGGGACAAGTCCAGGGAAAAAAACAGACTAAATTTTCCAACTAAAAGACAGAGACTGTCACACCAGATTAAAATGATGACAAACACACTGGGCAAGATGACTAGGGAAACTGGACAAAGACTGACATCTGCTCAAGCGAGGAGTGAGAATGTCACACTGTGGGCTTTAAGGGGAACACATCCCTCGAGAAAAAGAGGGGCAACTCATCCGTCTCTGGAAGGAGCATTCCTGGACATGGGGGCAGCTGTCAGCCACTACGGGCAGGACTTCTTTCTGACTTCCTACCCTCTTACTAAGGAAACCCAGTTCTAGGTCACTATTTTTAAGGAAATCCCACGTTGGAAGGTATTTCTGCAGAGCTGTGTGGGTAGCAAACTGCTAGGTAAATCTTTGTTTAATAAGTTTTGTTCTCATTCCTAATGAGAAGTGAGGCAGTCATAAAAACTCATCTGCTCAGCAGGTCCTTAAGTGACATGGAGGCTCTCACAACATTAGGCCCAGCCTGACCGTCCAGGCTACCTGACCCCACCATTTACTTCAGTACACAAGCACATAATGGTGGGTGGGCAGAACGTATAAATTGCCAATGGTCTCCACATGGGTAACAAGACCCGCAGCCACAGGTCATCTCCTCCCATTCAAGACATCCCAGAGACTACACCAAAACATTCATTATATCGTATACCACAAATACGTACAACTTTCATGTTTTTCTGTACCAGTTAAAAAATAAATTTTAGCCTAAAGTGAAGGCGAGAGACTAGAGCAGGGCTGCTTCGTGTGGCAGCTCTGTGCTGGGCTAACCTTGTCGTCGGCCTTTATGGAGCGCAGTCTCATGGTGAGCTGGAAGCGCAGGAAGCTATTGGTGCCGATGGACTGAAGCTCCAGCAGCTTGCACAGGGCCACCAGCTGAGGCCGGGTGAGGTTATCCATGGTCAGCTCGTCCTCAAATAACTTGGAAAAACGCATGATTTCCTCGTTGCTGGGCCTCTCCCCCGTCTCCCGTATCTGCAGAAGCAATTCCAACAGTCACCCTGCTGAGTCAGTGCTTAAGATCTCCTGTCCCCAACCCCACCTTCAGGTCCCAGCTGGAAGTGAGGAGCCAAGGGGTCCCGGGTGAGAGGCCTGCACCACCCACCCCTCGCTGTGCTCCTGAGGGGGCGACACGCCTCAGGCACTCAGCACCAGCAGGGCCTTTCGGGGGCACTAGTGCATGCAGGCACCTAGCTCTGAGTGGCTCCTCTACGTCAGCAGTGCACAGGCTGAGGGAGGCCATGGGCTGCTGGCCATGGGGTCAACCCTCCTGTCCTTTTCCCCAGTGTCCCAGGACCCCAGTGGGGCAAAGTCCTGGGTTCTTGTGCCAGGCCTGGGTGTTCAACAGTGGAAAAGCCACACTCATCTGCACCTGCACCAAACTTTGAGAGGGCCTGAGCCCTGACCCGGGAGCGCCCGTCGGGGTACAGATAAAACACTAAAGGAAAGAGAAGGAAGGATGCCCAACAGGGCCTGTGTGCTGCACAGATCGAACCAGCCTGGGACCCGAAGGCGCATAGTACCTTCTGGAAAAACGTGGAGAAGTCCTGGGTGGCGCCCCCCTTAGCTGCCTTATTCTTCAGGGCCATCTCCTCAATGGTGTCCTGGAGGAACTTCGCCAGTTCCAGCTTCACCCGCAGCTCCTTCTTCAGCCTCTCCTCCTGCAAGGGCAGAAAGGGGGCTGTGCTGCACCTTCACCCTCTGCCATCCTGTGCCCCACCACAGTGTTCCCCACAAAACAAATGTCTCACACACCCTTGGCCTCCCCACTCAGACCAACAGTTCACAGAATGAAATCCAAGCACAAAACTAAAACTCTCTGTTCTATTTCATGGCTTTAAAAAAAAAATCTTTGTGCGACCTCTTAGTGCAGGGGTTGGCAAACTTACTCAGTAAGGGACAGCTTTTGGGGTTTGTAGGTCATGTGGTCTGACATGTCAGCAGACAATACACGTGTGTCTGGGCATGGAGGTGCAGAGAAACTTCAGACTGGTTTTCTAGTTTTGTTTGTTTGTGCCAGACAAGGTCTAGCCAGGGAGCCCTCGCTGACCTCAAACTTAAGATCCTACTGCCTCCACCTCCCAAGTAGCTGGTATTACACACATGCACCATGATACCCATCTTGGACTCTCATGTTTGAAATGCAGTCACTGCTGCGATGCCCTCACCTTGATGGACTGGGTCTCAAATGTGGATGGTAGCATGTTGGGGAAGAGTTTCACAGCCACAGGGAGCAGGAACTCCATGAAGGGCACCACCACGAAGACCAGGAAGGGGACCAGGCGGAAGAGGTCAGCGCAGATCCGGAGGAACTGGAAAGAGGTGGGCTCCATCAGGGGGAGAGAGGAAGGTGGGGAAAGGCAGGGCATCTCTCCCACCATCACTTCAGCACAGCCACAGCAATGATTCAAGAGCTCTGAGTCCAAAGCCACTTAGCAGACACCACCTTTTCTGAAGAGCCATTTCTTGCTCTTCAGAAAAGTGGGGTGGGGTGCTAACTTGTAGGCCACCAGATGCAAGGGGCAGGTGTTGTGGAGACATCAGACAGGCCCAAAGGGGGATGTTTTTGACTGTATCTACTTCTCCACTTGTGACAAGCAAGTGATGTGTGAGATGGGAAGCAGCCCAGGCAGCCATTGGGAGCAGGGCACCAGAGACTCTTCTGAAAACGAAGCTTTTCAAGTGATTTAAATACCCCGAGTCTGCATGGGGAGGATCTGAACAATTCTTGACAGTCCTCAAGGTATCCTTCCCATTGCCCTGATACAAATTAAGTGGGTTCTTTTTCATGGCCCTACTCCCTTTCACAACCATGCCTTCCTTAGCCCAACTTTAAACTGGCTTTTCTAGCCAAACTGTAAGCTTTCGAGTCTCTCTGCTCTGCTTTTTGCTGCCCAGTGTCACTGCAAATCTGCCAGCAATAGCCATCCACAGCAGGCTGCTGGGCTGCCTTGAAACAGCACCGAGCTGTGGGCTTCTCTAGCCCACTTCTCCAAACTTTTCCAAACTCCTCCTGCAAACCAGTGCCAAAGGCTTAAGAACTACATGGTCAGGTTAGCCATAGCAACAGCCTCATTCCTGGTACCAGTTTTCTGTATTAGTCAGTTTTTTCATCGCTGTGACCAGCATACCTGAGAGAACAACTTAAAAGGAGTAAGGATTTATTTTAGCTCACATTTTCAGGTTGTAGACCATCATGCAAGGGAGGGCACAGCAGAAGCAGTTCCTGTCACGGCAGACTGGAAGCAGGACAGAAGCAGGAGGAGCCAGGCCAAGGCCATGTCCCCAGTGACCTACTTCCTCCAGGCAGACCCCACCTTTCACAGTTCCACCACCTCACAGCAGTCCAATCAAATTTTGAATCCATCAGTGGATTAAACCATTCATTAGCTCAGAGCTCTCATGATCTAATTGTTTCAGACTGGAGGAGTGTTTCAAGCACCTGCCTTGCAAGAACGAAGCCCTGAGTTGAAATCCTAGGACTATAAAAAGGAAAAAAATCACTTGCCTAGCAAGTGCAAGTCCCTGAGTTCAGACCCCAATACTGCAAAAAAAAAGAAAAGAAGAAAGCAAAGCAAAGCAGAGGGTAATCCAAGCATCACACAACGTGCACATGTTGAAACATCACACATTTCATAAACAGGTACAAGTTTTGCTTCACATATCGGCGAAAAAAAAGCTTGAGATGAAAAGCTTGGTAAAGTGGTGCACACCTGTTATCCTACTCTTGGGAAAACAGGAAGGATAAGTTTGAGGCCAGCCCAGGCTACATACTGACAATTTGCCTCAAAAAACAAAGCATAGGCTGAGGGTGTATCTCAAGTGGTAGGGCACTTGCCTACCTGGTGAGCCCTTGAGCACACACACACTCACACACACCATTCACACTTACACCCACACTCACACATACACTCATATTCTCACACACTCATACTCACATTCACACTTACTCACACACACTCACCATACTCACACACATTCACACTTATTCACACTCTCACACATACACTCACACACACCCATACTCACACATTCACACTTACACTCACACTCTCACACACATCATACCCACACACATTCACACTTACTCACACTCACACTCACAGAGGAAACCATGCTGAAATATGTGAGCCCAGTGCATGGGTAGGATCAAACGTGAAACCTCAATCAACAAGCTAATTTTCTTTCCCTTTCTTTTTTTCTGTGGTGCTGGAGATTGAAGTAGAGCCTCACTGACTTTGCAGGGGCTAGACACACGTGTAGGGACACCAGCTGCAGGTAGGGCAGAAATGAGTGACTGGATGGGCTCTCCTGAGTACTGAGGGAAGGGAGCATCACCTGGGCCACATGGCTGTGTGTTCTGCCATCCGAGTCACCTGAGCCCTTTTTGCTTTTCAGGTTACTGATTTTAGACAGGGTTTTGAGTTTTTGCCCAGGCCAGCCTGGACCATGTTCACTTATCTGTGGCCTCCCAGGTACCTGGGATTACAGTACACATAATCACAACCAGCTTATGGGTTTGAGGCTAAGACTGGCCTCAAACCATGATCCTCACAACCTCCACCTCCTGAGTAGCTGAGATTATAGACATGAGTCACCATACTCAGCCCTAGCATAAACATTTTCATGATTCCCAAGCTTTTGGATTGTTTGGTGGTACTGGGGTTTGAACTCAAGGCCTCACACTTGCTAGGCTCTACCACTTGAGCCACTCTACCATCTGCATAAACCATTTTCTTTCCCTGCAAGTTCAATGCCAATTTGCAAGTGACAGTAGCAACCCTGTAATGAATGCACGTGCATGGGTGTGCTCGCTGGTGTAAGGCCCTGGACCCCATCTGTCTGTCTGTCTGAGTGAGAGGCCTGCAGGACCACTGGCACAAAGGCTCAAGGCACACCCAGGACAGCACATGGGGGACCAAGGTGAGCATGGGAAGAAGACAGGAAGCAAGATGGCACTCGCTGGGCAGGGCAGCTGCTGGCGGGACTTGGGCTTCTCACAGGGAAAGGGGCCACAGTGAGCTGCACCTGAGCCCACTTGTTTTAAAAGGGCTGCTTTTGCTGGGTTGCAGTGACAGATAGCAGGGCCCCTCTCACCCTGGCCCTGGCACAATGGTGGTGTGTGTAACCATTTAAGAGTTGAGAGGGGCCAGGCACAGTGCTCATTGTCTGTACTCCTAGCTTCTTGGGAGGAGGGTATCTGAGGGATCATGGTTCCAGGCCAGCTCAGGCAAATAGTTCTTGAGACCCATCTCAACCAATGGCCAGGTGTATATGCCTCTCATCCCAGCTATGTGGGGAAGCACAAATAGGAAGCATGGGGGAATGGCTCAAGTGATAGAGTGCCTGCCTAGCAAGCACCTGAGTTCAAATCCCAGCACTGCCAAAAAAAAAAAAGGCCAAATAAATTGGTTAAAAACAAAACAAAAAAAAACACCTAATAGAACTTGTAGAAGTAAAAATATGGAGAAAACAAATCCCCAAAGGATGATTAAACAGACCACTTCTTCAGCTGAAGGAAGAGGACGGGTAAGATACCTAGAGAGAGAATCTTTTTTATGTTGTGTTCTTTCTCGTGAGACCAGGGTTTGAACTCAGGACCTTGTGCCTACTAGGCAGGCACTCTCCCTTTTGACGCATACCCCCAGCCCTTTCTGCTTTAGTCACTCTTATGTAGGGTCAAATTTTTTGCCCCAGCTGGCCTGGACTGTAATCCCCATGGAACCACAGGTGCACAACAACATGCAAGGATTACTGGTTGAGGTGCAGGTCTGTCTTATTTTTCGCTGGGCCTCAAACCACCATCTTCCCGATTTCTGCTCCCAAGTAGCTGGGGTTACAGACACAAGCCACCACGACCAACCTCTTTTGTATGTTTTTTCTTTGAGATGGGGTCCCAAGCAATAAACACAACAGGCTCCCCTAGGGGCACATGTGTGGCTGTGAAGACCAATCTGGAAGCAGCAAGACAGAGAAGGCAGCCCAGGGAACACCACCGCAGAACAGACCTCTTGAGGAGTCAAGACGTCCTCCAGCAGGAGGGCCGCCGAGCCTCAGCAGTCATGTTACAATTTAGCGGGACACCACAGAGGAAGTTCGTGCTGTACAGATTTTTTGACATTTTCCTGTACCACAGGCAGTGACAAACAGCACTCGCGGCACTGTGGACGCAGCCTCGGGTGGCAGAAGACATGGCAGCCCTACCTGCCTGCGCTCCCTGCGGGTCAGCGTGTGGCCGTTGAGGATGCGCCAGAGCGTACGAGCGGCGATCTTGGTGTCGATCCACAGCAGGCGGAATCCGTGGTAGTAGTGCTTCAGCTCATCCAGCACTTTCTGCCCAAGGGACTTCTTTACCACCACCTTGGCTGGCGGGCTATACACAGGGCCACCCTCCTCCAGCTTCTTGTTCTTGTCCTTTAGGGACTTGAGGGATTTCTCCACCACAGAGTCATCACAAAGAGGGGACGATGAGTGCCAGGCCCGCACAGGAAGGTACTGAGGTCCTGTCACAACCAAGCTTCCTGAGGTGGGGGGGCATGGCACCCTTGCCAGCTCGCACAGGTGCTGGAGCCTGGGAGTCCAACAGCTGAGAGGCTCTCCTCTGAAGCAGAAGTAGGCAGGATGGGCCGGAGCACAGCAGCCAAAGAGAACATGCCTTAAAAAGGAAAAGGGAAGAAGTGGCAATGAGAGGCCAGCATCTTTGACTGCTGAGCACCAAACACTGACAGGAACACCAAGCCACATGCCCCAGAGAATCACAACCACACACACCATCCCACCTACTTCCTAATGCCCGAGACACTCCTGGGAGCCCTTGGCAGAGCTTATGGATGAGGTCGAGACAGTGAGTGGCCTGCCTCAAAGGTCCCTAGAAAGAGATAGCAACGGTGGACACAAGGCAAAAGCTTGACCCTTGCACTTGGCCTGTTTCTGGGGCCAACGTTGGTAGGTGTGAAGCGCTGCTTTGGAATTTGTGGGGTGGGGTGTGAGCTGAAACCTGTTCAGTTTGGGGGACTTCCAGCTAACTGGAGGCACTAGAGCAAAGGGACAAACCCAAAGAAGCGTGCCCAGGACCTGTCCCTGATTGCTCGTTCAGCTCCAGCACCAGTGGCCTGAGTCTCTGCAGCCCCTACCAAGATCCCAGCTCACACACCAGCTCATGCCACACCTCACTCAGGCCCAGCCTCACCCTAGTGCTCTCTTCCTTATGTGCACCTGCCCAACTGGGAGACAGAGGCACACATACCTACCAGGCCCGTTTCACCTCCACCAGAACACAGGCTGCGTGACAGCCGCAGAGCAGGGGAGGGGAGGCCTGAGTGGACCACAGTGGGAAGCAGACAGCTGAAAACTTCAGGCCCTTCTCTGTCCACACTAGATTAGGCACACAGGGTTGCCTGGCCCCAGCCAAGGGTTTGTGCACCACAGAGACCCTTTTCTGACTCCGCAGGAAGCTGGAGTCAGTGGTGGTGGGGGAAGAGAACAGACACCATCCAATAAGGAAACTACTGACCTGTGCAATTCTTCAAATTCAAAATCTACATATCTTGCCTGGCTCATCAGAAACCTCTTCTTGTCACCTCTCTGCACCTGGCTAGATGCCAACAGGAGGGCCCGAGCTCTGGAGCAGCTAGGCTCAAGTGCAGCTCTGCTACTTACTGCTGTGTGACCTTGACCAAGTAACCAGACCTCTTTGTGCTTCAGGAGCTTCCTTTGCAAATGCATGTTAATATGTGCCAAGTACCCTGAACAGTGCCTAGCCCACTCACTACCGACTCAGAAGCGGCTGCCGCAATGATGGTCCCAGCAAAGCAGCGGAAACAAGGTGGGGCTCTCCAGAGCCGCCGTGCTTCATGGGAAGGAGGAAGGAAGGTCCTGTGTGACGAGCAAGCACACACCGCCTTGCGTAGCAGCTGCAGCCGGGGTAGGACACTGCCAGCCCAGAACAGACTTGGTTTTGGTGCCAAGCACTGGCTAAAGACCATCCCGAGGCTCCAAATCTTCCCTCAATCACAGCCTCACAAGCCCAACACTGACTTAATGCAAGCATAAAACAGCAGAACAGTGCAGGGCACTGCGGGCACTGGTGTGGGCAGGCCAAAAGTGAGGTGGTGTGCACGTGTGCGCCCTGCTCAACGTGTGCATGCATGTCCATGTCCACACCCACCTCCCCCAGGGCCAGTGAGGGCTGTCCATCCTCTAAACCCTCATCCGGTCCCCCACCTGCCTCCAGGCTCCCCAGCCCTGTAGTCAATCCCAGGACTGGGGCCACTCAGCCAGTTGGCCCCAATTTCCACCTTCTGTGCCTTGTTTCATCTCCAACTGCCCGTATGTGGAACAAATGCTACCCCATCTTCGTCAGGCTTCATTACCCAACTTCCCAACACTTAGTTTGCAAGGAAAATCATGGCACCCAGAAGGATGATACAAGCAGGTATGGGGATCACTGACAAAGACACATCTAAACAAATCAAGCGGAGAGGCACACAGCACACTGGGTGAGGGTTCAGCACCCGAGCTTGGTCAACTTCAGCTCCTCAGAGATTACAGTAGACCCTTGGTATCGGCTGGCATATAGTTTGAAGACCTCCCTAGGGAAAAAGCCACAAATGCTTTTTTATTTATTTTTGACTGTTCTTGGTCAAAATTATGTGTAATAAAACTTCAAATGAGGCAGGCTTAACATACTATTACTAACAGCTTAGCTATTTTTGGAAAGCATAAAATTGTTTTTGTTTGATTGTTTGTGGTGCTGGGGATTGAACCCAGGGTCTCATATATGCTAGGCAAGTACTCTACCATTAAGCCATATCTCCAGCCCAAATTATGCAACATTAAAATCTCTTTCCAAGCCAACATAATGGTGCATACCTGTACTCCTAGTGCTCAGAGCTGAGGCAAGAGGATTGCAAGTTCAAGGCCAGCCTAGGCTACATACTGAGTTCCAGGCCAACCTAATCAAGAGCCGCCCTCCCCCCGAAAAAAATTCATTGACACAGAACTAATCTGGGTGCTGCTAGCTGGGGACCAGCAGCTGGGGTTGAGTACCACTCGAAGGGTTAGCCTAGAGCCTATCCCATCACCTAAACTCCTAATTTTCCTTTCGTTTGTTTGTTTGTTTTTGATGAATCTCCTGCAAAGTAGGGGAAACCCCACCAAGCTAAAGCAATATCTCAGCAAGAAATGCACTGCTTGCTCACAGCACAAAATCTGGGCACTTGTATGAAGGTTCTCTTTCTGTAGGGCTGTGACCCTTCATACCTTAGCCTGTATCTCTACCTCCGAAGCAGGAAGACCAAGTAGTGCCTTGCACAGGGACAGCATGGTGTCAGCCACATGCCTTCAGCTACCAAGCAAGTAGACAGGGAGGAGTTGCAGGAACCCAGACGTGCTCTCCTGATACAGAGCTTCTAACTCTCATCAATACTTGTACACTGCAACAGGTATAAATACCTGAGGGCTGCTCCCAAAGGGACAGCTCCCTGGAGGCATCACCGAACCTCCTGCCACAGGTCACCCTTAAGATAGGCACAAGGCAAGACAATAGCACACAGTCCAGCAAGGGAAGACACTAACCAGGACAAGTCACCCTATTCTTTCAGACACAGTGTGCCTGACAGAAAGGAAGGAGGAACAATGTAGCAATAGCTACCAAACCCAAGAGATGATGCCACAAGTGCAGGACAACTCTGTACTCAGAGGCTGTGGTTAAGCGATTCCACAATATGTAAAACCACACTTACTCCCCTTGGCTGGGAAACTGGAAAACCAAGTCACCAGAACACCTAGCACCTGGTCCCAGTCCGCGGGCCAATTCCAGATTCCAGGCTCGTAACATGGCAGGGTGAAGCATCACCACGCTGAGTGCACACACTACAGAGACCTGTGTACCTATCATCAGCACCCAAGCACTTCCCCAGCAAATCCGGCCACCAGCCACACCACGTGGAGACCAAGGATCAGCTCCGGTGCTCCCACTACATGGGGACAGCCCCTGCTGGGTTTCAGGACTGCTCACTGCTGCATCACAGCCTGGCTGCCCCTGCAACACTTCCGAGAGAGAGAAGGCCAAAAGTTTCCAGATAATTAGTATCTGTCATGCTGTCCTGGATCAGACACTCTGCCTACTCCATCAGGGCCTGGGCCTTTCTGAGGTTCACCTAAGACTGCTGAAAAGCTATGCCATGGCTACCTCTTGAAGAACATATCAGCATGGCTCGAGATTTCCTATTTAGTGCAACCAAAATGAAAAATAAAAGTTTTTTGCTGCTTACCCACAAGTGCTAATTTGAATTATGAATTCATCAAAAGAGCCTTAAGGTTTAGAACTCAGGGCTCTGTGCTTGCTGGACAGGTGCTCTACCACATGAGTGACAACTCCAGTCACATTTTTTTTTCTTTTTTGGATATTGAATGCAGGCTTTGTGCTCCATGTACTCTACCTCTTGAACTACACCACCAGCCCTTTTGTTTTTGTATTTTGTTTTAAAGATAGGGTCTCACAAACTTTGCTAGGGCTGGCCTTGAATTCAAAGTCGAGAGTCTCCTACCTCCACCTTTACTCACAGCTCACTGTTTAGCATTTTTTTTTTTTTTTGGGTGGCACTGGGGTTTGAACTCAGGGCCTCACGTTTGTTAGGCAGATGTTCCACCACTTGAGCCATTCCACCAGCTTCATTATTAAGCTTTTTAAGTAAATGTCTAAAATTGTTAACTTAAAAAAAAAGAAGCAAAAGCTGGGCATGGTTGGGTATGCCTGTAACTCCAGCATGTGGGAGGCAGAGGCAGGAGGACCTCAAGTTCCAAGCCAGCCTGGATTGCAAAGCAAGACCCTGTCTGAAACAACCAAAGGCTAGGGCTGAAGGTGTAGCTCAAGTGGTAGAGTGCTTGCCTAGCAAGCACAAGCTCTGAGTTCAAAACCCTAGTACCACCAAAAGAAAAAACCAAGGGCTGAGGATCATCTCAGTGGTAGAGTGCCTACCTACCTAGCATGTGCAAGGTCCTGGGTTTGATCACCAGCACTGCCAAACAAACAAACAAACAAAAGTTAACAAATCACAGTTCTTATGTCCTAATACAAACTTGAAGTGCTAAAAAAGGTGCTTGTAAAATCCAACATCTATTCTGAATAAAAACACTTTAAAATAAGAATAAGCAGCAGGGCAAACAGCACTGAAACCCAGGAGCTGCTATTCCCTGTAATAAGCACAGACTCTGTTCTGCTGCAGTGATGGCATGTGACCAGCTACCACTGTCCCAACAGAGCTGGCTACAGAAGCAGGAACCAAAGCCACACAGCAGAAGAGGCATTGGGATGGAAGAGGCGGGGCACTGTTTTGTGCCAAGACCCCACCCAGGACCAAACCTGTGCTGCCTTGAGCTAAGTAGGAAGTGAGTGACACAGTGGTACAACAGCCAAAAGTACCTGCCAGCAGCAGCAACCACTTGGGAAGGAATAAAGAGGGGTAATGAAGATGGGAGGCTCCTGGGAATTGTGGCAACGTGGAGTCAAAAGCAATGCTTATGACCTGCATACAGGAAATGACACAGCTTTTCCTGAAAGAGGAAAAAGATCTTAATAAATAAAAGCCAAGGAACTGGCACTAGTGGCTCACGCCTATAATCCTAGCTACGCAGGAGGCAGAGATCAGAAGAATCATGGTTCGAAGTGAGCATGGGCAAATAGTTCTCAAGACCCTATCTTGAAAAAAACCAAATGGTTTTTTGGGTTTTTAGGGCTGATGGAGTGGCTCAAGTGGTAGAGTGCCTGCCCAGCAAGCACAAAGCCCTGAGTTCAAGCCCCAGTACTGCCAAAGAAAGAAAAATCAGGGGTTGGGCATGTAGCTTAGCATGAGTGAGACTTTGGGTTCCACCCCAGTACCAAAAAAAAAAAAAAAGCCAAGCTTGGTATGATGGAGGCAGAGATTAGGGAGGATTGAGATTAAAAGCCTGCCTGGACAAAAAGTTAGCGAGACCCTATCCAAAAAAAGTAACTGTAGCAAAGAGAGCTGGGGGCATGACTCAAGTGTGAGAGGACCTGCCTAGCAAGCTCAAGGCCCTGAGTTCAGCCCCCAGTATCACCCAAAAAACAACCCTCCACCTGGAAAGAAATGACAATACTTTAAAAGTTGCTATTCCCCCATGGTTTGATGGATTTTGGCAAGTTCATCTGGAAGGACTCTCAAGAACTCAGAGGAAGGTCCAGAAAATGTATACTTGAGATCTCACTAGGGAAATGCAGGCGGTAGGTACTGGTTCTGGATACATTTATCACCCTACAGAAATGACAGATGCCTAGGAAAGCTTTGGGGTCACCAATGGAGCACATTCACCTTCCATCTGGGTGGATTCATACAGGTGACCAGAGTCCAAGGGTATTCACCTTCCATCTGGGTGGATTCATACAGGTGACCAGAGTCCAAGGGTATTCCAATAACCTAGACCAGGGCTCATTGCTTTAAAACCAGAGACTTTACATCAGAGCCCTCCTGAGCCCAAAGAGCCACACCCTACAGGGCATCCCAGGAGCTTAGCTCCAGGCCACGGCAGACCTGAGCTGTCTTCAGAATGCACGTCAGCAGAAGAGGCCCTGTGCCTGTCCCTGAGTGCCACCAAAAGTAGCCTTGAGACTACCAGAAGAGAAAACGAAGTCCCACTGGGAAGGCACGCAGTAGGAGTCAGGGGCAGAAGGCCCAGGCCAAGGGATGCTCTTAGCCAGCGTCAGCATCTGACCAGATGTACCCATGCAGCAGCAATCCAGTCACAGAAGCCCTGCCAGCCGAGGAACTCATGCCAGCACTTGATGGAGACTTCACACTGCAGCATGCTTTATAACAGCAACCTCGTCTTCAGATGTGACTTGGGGTTTTTATTTTAGGGAATGAGACCTGCTTCAGGAACTGTTTTATAGCTGAAAGGATAAATCTACTTATCCTTACTTATTAGAGTAAGTTATCTGACTTGATGAACACAAAAACCTTCGAACTCCTAGTAGGGAGGAGTTGAAAGGAAATTAGGTGCAGAAAGAGGTGGCACTGGGATCCTGCTCTCCCACAGGAAGCGCAGGCAGTGGACAGGAAGATGAGTCTGCTAGGGGCATCTCTTCTGACTATCTCCTCAGGGTGAGACAACACGTGGCTGAGGCAGATGTGGGGTGGAGGGGACAGTGCAGCACAGGGAGCAAAGCAGCCTAAGTCTCTGTACTGTGGAAGCCACTATCTGTAAGAAAAGCCCTCTCGGACTGGCCCACTGGCCAGGCAGTGACGATACAGCCCTACCTGGGACACTGCTGCCACCTGTTACTCATTGTTGGTCATCTTGCTAGGCTTCAGATACAGAAAGAAGGGCAAGTCCATCATGCCCAAGATGTGCCCTCAGAGCCAGGCCAGGAGTACATCCTTGAGGTAGCACAAGCCTGAAGGACCAAAAATAATCAAGGGAAGGTCTGCCCTGTGCCAGGGACAGATCCCAACGTGCCCAACACTGCCCTGCATGGTCAAACTACTTTGGGCACAATTACTTGGAAAACCACTAAAAATGACAAGTGTATGAAGCATGGGAAAGATTAGTCACACTAAGTAAACAAAACTATAGTAAGCTGTGTTATAATTGTACTAAAAAACAGATACATGAAAAAGTCAGGGGTGAGGGCACCTTCAAGTGGTAGAGCACTTGCCTAGCATACCTGAGAGCCTGGGTTCAAGCCCCAGTACTGAAAAATAAAAAAATAAGTGCAACTCAGGAGGCAGAGTCAGGAGAACTGAGGTTCAAGACCAGCCTGGGCAGGTAGTTTGTCAGATGCTATCTTGAAAACACTCAACACACACACACACAAAAAGGAGCAGCCCAAGTAGCAGAGCACCTGCCTAGCAAGCATGAGGCCCTGAGTTCAAACCTAGTACTGCTAAAAAAGAAAAAGAAAAAAAATTCACCAAAATGCTACTAGTATTTGTAGTACTGAAATTAAGAATATTTATTTCCTTTTTCTTGTTTCTTTTTTTGGCAGTACTGGGATGTGAACTCAGGGCCTCATGCTTGCTCAGCAGGTGCTCTACAATTTGAGCCACTCCGCCAGCCCTGTTTTGTGTTGGGCATTTAGGATAGGGTCTCTTGAACTATTTTCCCAGGCTGGCCAACAATGATCCTCCTGATCTCTGCCTCTTGAGTAGCTAGGATTACAGGTGTGAGTCACGGGCACCTGGCAAGAATATTTATTTTCTTAAGATTTCCTAATGTGAGCTGGGGATGGAGCTCAGTGGTTGAGCACTTGCCTAGTATGTGTAAGGTCACGGGTTCTATCCCCAGCACCAAAAAAGGAAAAACCCAGTAATGTACATGGTTATAACCTTCAAAATAAAGATATAAAGGCTTGAAAGAAACAAAAACAAACAATAAGGAAGCAGGACCAGCTGCTTCCCTGATGCTCAGCACCCTCTGGCTGACAGATGCAAAGTGCCTTGTTAAGCAGTGTTTACTTACTCTCGGTTTATCAAACCCACGATCCTGGTACAACTGAGACAAGCGCGATCCCCCAGACTACCTACGACAAAAACAAAGAAAAAGTCAGCAAATACATCTCAACCAGGTGTGTTTGAAAGTCTGAGGTACCTCTCTTGTGGAACCCCTGTAATTAAGTTTTAGAAGCCTGCCTGAGTGACAGAGGCTTCAGAGCACAGCTGAGGGAAGGGTCTCCCAGTTAGGAAATGGTTTCATGGCAGCCTCCACTGGTACTGGTAGTGTCCTCACACAGCAAGGGATACATGGTAATCTAAGTCGAGCGCTGGGTTCATAAGCTTGGGTCACCGCCATTCTCAATTCATAACATCAAGATATTAGCCACATTTTTATATGCATCAACTGTTACATTTTAAGTTAAATTATAAAACACAGGGCAAGAAGCACACCAAGCCCTTCCTCCATTCAAACAGGGTCAGCACTTCCTCCTTGATTCTGCCCCTCCAGAACTTGGATCACCCAAGCAGATACCCAGGGAGGACCTCACTCTGACCCCTCTGTCCTACCAGCTCCCTTCCTAGGTTCTCCCCAAACCTACTATGAGCTGTCCCAGATCCCCACAGAAACCCCAGGTCAAAGCCAAGTGGGCACCACTGCAGGTGCCCAACTTGCCTACACTTTCATGGGCTACATAATTTGGAGGCTCCATTGCCCTCTGTTTTGGTAATTCACTAGGTAACAATGATAACTCACAGAACCCATCAAAATGTACTCACTGTCAGTTTGTCACAAAGGACAAAGGAGCTGTCAGAGAAAGAGGCACAAAGGTGAGGTGAGAAGGGTCTTGAGCACCCAGCTTCTCCTTCCTAGCTGCCTCCTCTGCAGGACAGACTGCTCCAGGAGTCCAGTCCACACCCTCCCCACCCAGGATGTAGGCTGAAGCTCCAACCCTCTAATCTGAGCACATGGCCCTTGCCTAGAGTGATCAGGGCCACCCTGGGTCCCTCATTGGTGGGGTAGGAAGGGGCTCATTATGAATAACGAAGCCACTGCTATGACTCCTAAAATTCCCACGACTTTAGCTCTGGGCAGGAACAGAGACAAAGACCAAATGTATTTCCTATTATCACCTTTTCCTCTCCTGGTCTCCAGGAGACCATCTTCCCCCGATCCTCTTGATGGGACCTCTACCTCGCTCCAGGCAATCTTCTTCCTGACATGCACACACAGCCTGCAGGCCTGGTGGGCCCTTTCAATAGTGCCAGGACTCCTGCCCCATGGAAACCAGCCCCTCCCCAGTCCTGGAGAGTTTAAAACTGGCACTGCAGCCAGCAATGGGGGTTTCTCTCCAGACCAGCTTCTACATGCAGAGAGGGCAATGGGGAGGAAGTTCACAGTGGAGAAATCTGACAAGCACATCTCAGCTGAGAGATCAAGGTCAATACTGACAGTGATAAAATATCTTGATGGGATGTGGCGAGAAAGACACCTCACCTCTGTGGCTCTCCACCCCTAAATCCATCATTCCCAGTTTAAGTATGAGAAAAGCATAAAAAAATACCAACAGACATGCAGCCTAGTGCTGGTCAGGTAATACTGCCGCAGTCGTGAAAAACAAGAAAAGTCTGAGAAACTCACAACCTAAGGAGTCACGACCACTTGTAATGTGGTGTCCTGGATGGATCCAGGGACATCAAAATAAAGCATATGCACCACAGAAGTAGTGCAGAATAAAGTACGGAGACTGAAGGGAATGTGAACACAGCAGGGACCTGAGCTTAGCTGTGCTGGCTCACCACATTAACCCGAAGGGTATGTCATTTCAGGACCTACTCTGCACAGCCCAGCCCAGCCTCCCACAGGTTCTGAATCCCTGTTAGTCCCACAGATAACCAGTAGTCAGGTAGTGTCTCTGCACAGAGATCTACAAACAACTACAGAAAATATCCTTGTGCCTGGAATAACAGGACCCCACACACACACACACACACACACACACACACACATACACGCAACTGTTTAGTGGTAAACATGCTACAGAAACCAGAAGTGGCAGAAGTACTTCGTTGCCATCCCCAACAGCCAACAGGTAGGACTGCTCTGAAGACTGCTCCTCCCACAGGACAGGGCAGGGCAGGGAAGGGCTGGGTGGCTGCTGCTCCACCACGCTTCTCGCCAACACTCACTTTAAGGTGACAGAAAGTGTGCTTCACCCCGGCTCTTTGTAAACCACAAACAAAGCCTCTGGAAATGGACTACTTTTCTTGGGTCGCGCTCGCAAGAACGTGTTTCATCTTTATCTCAACCATAAAGAGCGTGAGCCCAGCCAGCACAGGCCCCGGGGCTGGATGGCTGGCTGACCTCTGCTCGGCTGCCCCACCCGGGGGAGCGGCCCACGGGGCTGGCATCGCCCGGCAGGCCCCGTGTCTACCGAGTCCCCGAGTCGCGCCTCTCAGGCCTGAGCGTGGCCAAAGGGCACGCGTGTCCTCGCGAGTGGGCGCCATGTCCCGTCGCGCCCCATCCACCTAGGAGAGTGCCAGGCTGTCCCGGCCCTGAGGAACTTTCTTAGAGTCTCTGTCGGAGGCTGAGACCTGCGGCGACCCGGGCGATTAAGGTCACAGCGACACCGCCCAACCCGGGAGGCACGGTGCCACCGGGCGATGACGGAAGGCGGGGGCGCGGGAACAGCGGGGACGACCGGGTCATGCGGGGAGGGGCCGCGCGGCCAGCGGCCGACCCCCCACCCCCGGCAGCTCTGTGGGAGCGCCGCACTGGGGGCAGCCGGACGGCCTCCAGGTCCGCGGTATCCCGGCCACGCGCCGGGAGGGACCCGCCCTGGGGTGAGCGGCTAGCGGTGCAGCGAGCCCGATCCCTGCCCAGTCCAGTCCAGTCCCGGGCCCACCGACCCCGGACACCGGTGCACGCAGGCCGCTTACCCCGCGGAGCGGCAGCGAGGGGCGGGTGGAGGCGGGCGGGCCGCCGGCCGCGGCAGCTCCTGAGCAAAATGGACGCCATGCACCGGACGCAGCGGCCTCCTGCTTCTCCACGCGGCCGCAGCTCCTCGCCGTCCGGGCGGCGCCTGGGCCCGGCCCGCGCGGACAGTTAACTGCAGCGGTTGGTTCGCGTTAGCGGGCGCTCAACTCAAGGACCCGGCACCGGCAGCGGCCATGTCCCGGCACAGACGTCCGCGGGGCGGGGCGAGGCGGACCGCGCCGCTCCCATTGGCCCCGCGGCGACCGCCGCCGGCCAGGTGAGGGGCGGGTCCGAGCGGCTCACTACCGGTTCCAGCGTGCACCAGGCGACTTGTTCTTGCGGTCCGCAGACTACAGATCCCGACGTGCACCGGGCAGTCTGCCCTCCTCCCCCACCCTCCCTCGCCGTCGCGGACTACAAATTTAGGCCTGCATCTGGAAGACCTCCCACCCTTGGACTACAAGTCCCAGCATCCACCGGGAGGTCTCCGGGTTCTTATAAAGTAGAATTTTGCTGAGAGCACGTGCGCATGCGCGCTGAGCCCCTTTCCACCCCCCCCACCGCCGCTCCCCGCCTGGGTTTGGGCTTCGGTGGCTGTGGCGCCGACGGCGACAAAGAGCGAACCAGAAACTGACCCCGAACCTGGCCCTGCACCACACGTAGCAAATGGTTCCTGACACTTTGGGAAAGAGCTGCGGGCCGGGCGCCCTCCAAGGGCGGGAGACGCTGGGACAGGAGATCACGTTTTGGGTTCCAGCGCCCTTTGTCGCCCTTGGCTCTGTTCCAGGCCTGCCACTTGCTCCTGATATGCCCCGCCCCCCTCTTCCCCAGTCGGCTGGGCGCGCCCAACCTGGTCCTGTCCGGGAGGACAGCGTCTCCGTAGGGAGCTCCGCGCTGGTGGCAGTGCGACCCCTGCCCTCCCCACTTCACAGTCCACGATGAAAAGCCCAGGGCTTGGCTCAGGGCCTGGGCAGGGCTGGGCCCGCGGACGCATGGCCTCCCCTACACCCGGCACCCTGACCTTACGATGCAGGCTCTCAAAAGCCTCCTCCCCGGACTAGCCCTGCCCACTCCAGGAGGAAGATGAGGGCAGCCCATGACTTCAGAACCCCACCTTCCCCTCCCTTCCTTAAGCTGGGGATGGTGAAGTGCAAAGAGAAGGCGGGCAGGGGAAATGCGGGAACTTGCAGGACTTAGGCTGCCCCCCCATCCCCCCCACCCCCGCACTCTGATCCTCCCCAGCAGGCCTGCACCCCACCCAGGGAGAACCAGGCCCTTCCTTGGATTTCCCACACACGGTTTCCTACCCGCTGGCTTTTGCTCCTCTCAGACCCTCTGCCAAAATCTTTTTCCATCCTTCTTGTTCTGCCCCCTCCATCTTGTTTACCGGGAGAATCCTTAGTGCACACGTTTAGTTCACGGCCCTCCAGTCTTCAGAGGTCACTTGAATAGCATGTCTCCCCTAGGTGCTCCCTCCCCTTCCCCCAGCTGTCCCAGCATATTAAGAGAGGAGGGAATAGGAGCTGGGCCTGCATTGAACCAGGAGGCCCCATCTCAGGTGGGAGAGGGTCTTTGAAGATGGTCTGGAAGCTCTCCTATCCACTGGGCAGTGCACACAAATACAGAGTCAAGCCAAGAACAAGGTTGCCCAAACCTAGGCCTGTGCTGCCCACACACACCAGAAAGGACAAAATGGAGGATAAAGAACTAATAGTTCTTGTCCTCTGAGTCAGGGTTGTGCCTGAGCAGAAGCAGGCAGGTGCTCAGGGTTGAACAGGACTGGACTTTTTAATGCCCCAAGTATAGGACATTGTCCTATTCCTAGTAGGGACATTGATGGTTCACCCAGAGGCCATCAGGAGTGGGAGGAGACCCTGGGGAAGGGACAAGAATCAATGCTAGGGTGGCTGCCCTGAGAAGGCCTTCTGTGGTTTGCAGACTTGGAAAGACACTGGACAAAGGGGGAGAAACTATGCCCACCCCCCACATCCCCCCACCCTACCCCTGCCTTTGCCCTTGCAAGGGCTCACCTGCCTGCTCTAGGCATAGCTCAAATCCACGGGGTGGGGTAGGAGGGAGGGAGGAGCCAATGACAGGCGGGCAGAGTGGGCAAACCCCCCTTGCTCCCCCCACCTCCTTCCTGCAAGGTGCTAGGGAAATTCATTTTTCACCAGTCAAAACAGTGTTATTGGGTCTTCTCAAAACAAAAACAAAAACAGCAACAGGAAAAACACCCACGTTCTCACTGTAGACATTTCAAGTTTCTAAAAATAAGATCAGGAATTAAGTAGAAGTTCGGTATCCCCACTGGCTTGAACCATACACTTCCAAGGCCCCAAGTGAGCAGCGGCCCTCCTGCCCTGCCTCTGGTGCAGCAGTCCAAGCGCTGAGAACCCTGTCCAGCGTTTGTGTTAACACCATGGACCTTGAACCTTTTCTCTTTTGGGTGGCCCCTTTTCCTCAGAAAAACTCTGTTATGGCTCCCCAGAAGTCATACATAACTTTCCAATATTCTGTAACTTTTGCTTGGTGTTTACACAAGTGACTAGTTGAGAAACAGGGTGTGATGTCAGTGGAGACAGGGAGTCAGGGAGTGGGGCAAGGATCTGCCTAGGAATCCGGCTAGGGACTAGGTTAGAGAGGTAGAGCAGGGATGACAGCAGGGATGTGCGCTGCTCTGCCACACTTAAATACAGGGCAGGTGGAGGTTTTGCCAGGAAGTGTGATGAAGGAAGAGAGCAGACAGTAGAGTCAAGGGTGTGTGCAGGAGAATGGCTGTAAGGCTTTTCTGGGGGAATTTAAACTGAGGCGTGAAGGAAGGGAGGACCAGGAGGGGAGTGGGCCCCTGAGGTAGTTAAAGTAGCAGGATTTCTGGCCTGTGGGCTGAAGGGGATTTGTAGCCAGGTACCAGAGCGAGTGCACTGAGGGGGAGGATGCTCACCGCTTGGTGGCAGCTGGCTTTCACTTACTGGCAATGGCAAGGCTAGGTTGTGAGCCCAGAAGAAAAGCCTGAAGAGAGCTGGAGGGCCAGGTCTCCCTCCTCCAAGTGGAAGCATCCTCAGCCAGGTGCATGGAACAGGAAGATCCAAACAGCTTCTAGCCTGCTCTCCAGAAGTGGAATGACCCCCTAGATGGAAGTTTTGGGTCCAGGCTGGGATGTGCCTGGGACTGAAGTCCTGCCTGCTGAGTCTCCATAGACAAGACACACTGGTTCCCTCTTTGCTTCTGAGGAACACAAACCTAGACTGACTGGGGCAGCTTGTCTTTTTTGTTTGTTTTGTGGGGCTGGAGATGAACCCTGGGCCTCCAGCATTCTAGGCAAGTGCTCTACCACTGAGCTACACTCCCAGGCTTAATAGACCATTCATTCATCCTCCCCTTCAGTAGGCAGAATAATGGTCCCCAAAGTGATCTGCACCTTATCCTAATTCTGGAACTTGTGAATACTTCATATGGAAAAGGGGATTTTGCTGAAGTGATTATATTAATTTTTTTGTTTTTGTTTTTGGTGGTACTAGTGTTTGAATGCAGGTGCTTTACCACTTGAGCCATGTCCCCAGCCCTTTTTTGCTTCAGTTATTTTTTGGATAGGGTTTCCATTTTTGCCCAGGGCTGGCCTCCTAGACCTCCAGTTGCAGCTGGGATGACAGGCACTCACCATCACACTCAGCTTTTTTTTGTTGAAGTGGAATTTCACACACATTTTTTTGTCTGGGCTGGCCTCAAACCTCCATCCTCTGCCTCCTAAGTAGTTGCAATTACAGGCATGTACCACCATGCCCAATCCTAAAGATCTTTTTAAACAAAGGAATATTTCTTTAAACTATATACTCTTTATTTGATGCTGCTGAGATAGAATCCAGTGTCTTGCCCTTCTGTAGGTTTTGTTTTGTTTTGAGACAAGGTCTTATTTGTTGTACGTGCTAGGATTACAGAAGGATGCAACCATGTCTAGTTTAATGCTGTAATTTTATAGGTAGGCTTGATGATGGTGCTATGAGAGCTCCAGCTTGTTCTTCCTCAAGATTGTTTTGGATGTCTGTCTTTGGTGTTCTTTGATGAACAAATGAAAAAAACTTCTTAATTTTAATGTAGTTTTTTTTTTTTAGCTTTTCTTTTTTTTTAATTTTATGTTTTATTATTCATATGTGCATACAATGCTTGGGTCATTTCTCCCCCCTGCCCCCACCCCCTCCCTTACCACCCACTCCGCCCCCTCCCCCCCACCCCCTCTTAATGTAGTTTTAAAGATAGTAATTTTTTTTTTTTTACTGTGCTTTTAGAGAAATCTTCCCGGACATAAGATCAAAATGATATTCATTTATATCTTCTATCGAAAGATTTCCTTTGTTTCTCAGTGCTGGGGATGAAACTGAGGGCCTCATGCATGCTAAGCAAGTGCCTTACCACTGAGCTCCATCCCTAGCCTTTAAAGATTTTCTTTAAGAATTAAGAGCTTGATCTATTGAGACTTCCCAGAATTTTTTGTATGTACTGGAAGGTAGATGCTCAGTCTGGTTTGTTTTTTTTTTTTTGCATCCAACAGAAAACATTTTTTCCAAGTCTCTCTCTCTCTCATACATGGTGTCACTGCTAGGGTAGCCTTGAACTGATGATACTCTTGCCTCAGGAGTAATCCCGAGTGCTGGGACCACAGGTGTGTGCTAACACATCCAGCCTTTCCGGGTCTCCTTATTGAAGAATCTCTTCTTTCTCAATAATCCGCTGTGCCCCTTTCTCACATATCCAAGTTCCTTAATGTGCAAGTCTGCTTCTGGACTTTCTCTTTTCTTTCTACCTTTCTTTCTTATTGGCAACTGGTCCCTGTGCACCAGCCTGCTCGCAGCTGGTCCTGGTAAGGGACACAGTCTTCATGGAGCTAAGGAGGCATATGCTTCAAAGCCTTCCCCTGCGTGAGCCCTGCAAAGCAGTGCTTACATGTGGGTTATTTCTTTTTTGATAGAATTTGAAAAAGATATTTTAACAGTCATTTGTGAAGACCACCCACTGCAGAGAGACCGTCATTTCTTTCTACTTTGCCTTCTCTGGTTTGAGTATGGAGGGCTTATTGGGGGCTGCATCTCAACAGGTTCATCATGCTTGGGGTTCCTTGAGGTTCCTTAGGTTGTAAGTCAACATTTTGTCAACTCTGGAAAAATTTTGGTCATGATTTTGGTGAATATTTTTTGCCCATTC